TTTTTGAAAGCAAGGACCAAAACTTTTATGAGAGGGGAATTATGTTACTGCCAGAAAGATGGCAAAAGGTGTTGGACCAGAATGGCCAATATATAATTTAATAAAATATTTATTCATTATACGAAAACTGTCTTTCATGTTCCCCAAAAAAAACGAGATGACTTTCCGAACAACCCAATAATATACTTTATTTCCATAAAACTTACATTGTAAGTATTGGATAATGGCAAAATACAAAACCAATAAAGATACACGGCATTTTTAAAATAACACATGGAGTTATAAAAAACAAACACAATTTGAAATAGGCAAACGTTGGATAAAACGCGAATTAAAAAGTGCACTGCAGGTACTCTTGTAGAAAATAAAATGCCTTCTGGATAAGCAATCGTTTCACCTCAGCCTTAAACTGACCCAAAATCCGTTTCATCCCAGGTGGTAAGTTATTAACAAGTTTTATAGGAAACCGACGATAGAGGAGCTATTTGCTACCGAACTTAATTTATGTTTTGGAATATCTAGGTTATAATTCTGTCTAACCAAAACTATAACGTTCATTGATTGCTCGCGTACATATATACTCATTATAATTAGATTTAATCATCGTTACCGAATTCAGTATGTATAGACTGGGAAATGTCAAAATTTGCGTTTCAATAAATATATTTCTGCAGGAATAATGTTTCGGTTTAAAGTGGATTGTACGAATAATCCTTTTTTGGAACAAAAATATTTCATGCCCCAAGCAGTAATAGCATAATTTAAACAGGACTGAAAATACGAATAATGATATAGCAATAAAATACTATAATCGACCTTTCTTCTAAGTTGCCAAAGGACAAAATAGTGTGTGGATAATTTTTTGGGAATATAGTCCACCTGATGAGAAAGGGCAGAGTTGAAATAAACTCCCAGAAATTGAATTACTTGTTAAGTAAAATTTTGTATGTCGTGGCCATGGTCTTAGACAGAAAGATGGGTAAGTATTTCATAAGTTAGAATAAATGGAAAAGTATTAAAAATAGGTATATTACATACAGTTGAAAGTTTTCGTAAGATCCTTCAGAAAAAAATAATCATATATATGTCATTTAGGAAGGTCGAGACTATTCAATTCAAAATTTTCCAGATACATTCGTTGATTTTGAACACCTTGCAGCATCTAATTCAAATTCCGTTGCATATATCTTTTAAATCATCTTCGGATAACTTTAATATTAAATAGGAGTGATCTAACTTGAATAATAATGGCGTTATTGTATTTTTTTGCACGTGTGACAATTAGTATTTAAAAAAAAATATTTTCCAATAACGGGTGTTATTTTGGTATTAAAATATTTTCTTTTATTTCAATACAAATAGGAATATATGCCATTAATAATGGAAAACAATATCAGTCAATGGCCACTCTTATAGTATACCACATCCTTTTCATGAAAATTTCCATCACCAAATGACAAAGTGGCACCTGTTTGTCTTCATTAGCTTCACGAATTCCATCGTTAATGCGTTATATTAACGCTGGGCTGTTGGTGTAGACGTTATCTTTTACGTGGCCCTGAAGGAAGAAGTCGCAGCGTGTTAAATCACAAGTGGCCAATTGAAATCACATCTTCGAGAGATAACAAGGTCCGGATCTTCGTTTCGTTGCTTGTGTGGCTAGTACCGCAATTTTAAAACTTTATAGGCCTTAACCCGTTTTGTTCCAGTGGTGCGTTAATGCACCACCTATTCTAGGTTTTTTTTGTCACATCCAGGAAATATTTTTGCACATATATAACAGGACATATAACCGTAGAAATTGCTAATTTATGTGTAAAGGAAAGATCTTTTATATGACTTCAAAAGTTAACAAAAGCGGTACATAAATTTGTATCACATTTTCAGGTAAATCCAAAATAGTGGAAAAAAAATTTTGATTATGCTTAATTTTTTGCAAATATTTAGAATAAACATTAAACAATTAGCGTATTCTTTAGTATTAGTTTGTGCCTTGTGTAGTGAACGTTGCAGTTCGTAAAATATGGCATTCACGAGGTATTTGACTCAGAAGGAATTAGAGGCGGCTATGGAGGAGATCGTGATGGATGAGGACAATAACAATGAAAGTCCTAACTATTATTTGAATTTACGTATTCTTATGTATTGTAGCATTCCATTCCTTATAAACTTATGCTAAAAATAACATGAAAAAGTATTTACAGAACATATTGACGCGGTCTATGTTCCACCCGACGTGGATACCTTGACTGATGAAGAAGATATGAACGATAACATTAATCTACAAGAGTTTGGGGGACCAACTGCTATAGTTGGAACTTTAGAGTTACATGCACCGAATGGTACAGTTGTCCTTCAACAGTCCTGTAATTCATCAACTACTGAACCTGAATGGGACTCATCAGATGATGAAACCCTGGAATTCAAAAGAAGACGTATGCTTTCTGCAAACGACAGGCTTGCTTCCACTGTCAAATGAAAAAAAGGTCAGGACACTTACACACCAATATCTGATGAATTTAGATCATGTGAGGAACTAAAAAATAGGCTTTCTGCAAAAATTCCGCTTGAAATATTTTTTATGTTTTTTGATGACGAAATGATTTTAAAATTTTCTATAAAATATGGTCAAGAATAACCGCCAGGAATACTCGTTGTTAAAAAACGAACTTTTAAATTTTGTTCTCGGGTCACCATTCATTGAAACATATTTAGCATTATTGATCTACTGATGAAGACAAAGGAATTGATCTTATAAAAAAATGTATGAGCCGCAATACATTCCAATTGATAAAGCAAAACTTGCACTTATCTGACAATAATCAAAAATGATAAATTTCCAAAAGTTAGACCCTTCTTTGATGTAATAAATAAAAAAAATCTTCAGTTTGGCATATTTTCGTTCAACTTATCCATAGATGAACAAATGTACCTACTTTGGCCGCCATTCCTGCAAAATATTTATAAGGGGTAAGCCAGTTCGTTTTGGCTTCAAGCTTTGGAGCCTTTGTTCACCTATTTTATTCACTTCCATATGGTGGTGCTCAAAATAAACCTCATTCTGACCTTGGTCTTGGCGGTGACGTCATAAATCTACTTTCTGTTGTAGATAAGGCAGTAAATCACCATTTTTTTTTCATTCAAACTATTTGTGCATTTAAAAACTAATGGTTATTTTGCCACCGGTACTATCCGGGAAAATAAAACAAATAATTGTCCAATGGAAAATTGTAAATCATTTGGACGAAAAGACCGCGGATCCTATGTTTCAGCATATGAATCTGAATCAAAAATGTCTATTGTCCGTTGGCACGACAATTCAGTTGTAACTGTGGCAAGTAATGTTTCTAGTGTAGATCCTGTCCAAAATGTAAAACGCTGTAATAGAAAAGAACGGAAAGATGTAAATATACCTCAAACTTATGTAATTGCCCAATACAATAGATATATGGGTGGGGTAGATTTACATGACAACGGAATTGCTAATTACAAGTGCCAGGTATTTGGAAAAAAAATGGTGGTGGCCTTTATTTTGTAACTCACTGGATAGTTTAGTAGTGAATGCATGGAAATTGTATAATATTGTCAACGAACAAAAGATTTCCCAGATAGATTTTACATCTTACATTGCTTTGCGACTTTTAAAAACTGATAAAACAATTACTCAAAGAAATCTTGCACCTGTCATAGATGAAGTGCGTTATGATAATCAAGGTCACCTCATGATTGTTGATGCTAATAAAACCCGAAGGAGATGTAGAATCTGCCCATAGCCACACAATTTTGTAAAATATCACCAAAAATGAAACCGGGTGTTACCAGTGGTGCGCTCACGCACCATAAGATATTTTGGGTTTTTTTGTATCAAATCAGGTTCTGTTCGAAAAACAATCTATTTTTAGTTGTTTTCTGTCGAATTTGAACTTTCTTTTCTATATTTATATATAAATTATGTGTGTTACATCTTATGTTTTTTCCTAGTGGTTCGTTTACGCACCAGTATTTTTTGTGCTCAGTTTTTCAGCTCTGAAGAAGCCAACAGGATGATTGGCGAAACGCCAGCAATTTCCACTAAGCAAAAACCAACGTAGGAGGAATCCAGAAGTTTTGTAAAAAGCATTACAGTAGCCAGAGTATTTTTTTGTATTGCGAGTTTTTATTTTTATTTTTCACATGTAATGTATTCTTAAGTGCAACAAAATAAATAATTTTAGAGCAAAAGAGTATTTTTTTATGCTCGCGATAATGTGGGTTAAGGCTCAAGTCTTTATACAAAACACGGTGCAATGACGCTTGTGAAATGCCCAATTCCAAGGTACAACGTGGAATGGACAAAGCGGAGTTTTCTTTAACACCTTAGGCTATAGCAGCAATATTTTCTGTTGTTCTTGAGCGACGTTCGCGTTTTTCATTCTTCACATCACTAACTTGTCCCACTAGTTCGAATTTTTCCACTAATTTCTGTACTTCGAACCGACAAGGTGCTGCACGACGAGCCGAAACTGTTTTAGTGTTGCGAACCGTCGCTGATGAATGGTGAAATGGTGAATTTTAATAATTTCGATGCGCCGCTGAAGCGTGAATCGTAGTTTCTGCTTGTCAAATGTCACAAAAAATTACAGCTTCGAAAGTGACGTCTACCGACCTAGAAATCTATTCAAAATAACACCTCTTATTGGAAAATCCTTTATTAGCTTTAGTTATTTCATATTATTAATAAAAACGTTGAAGAATTTCAAAACCAATTCGAAACACGGTTTAAAAATACGGCGTTCCTTTAAAAATAAAACGATATTTTATTAACCGGGTTTTTTGAGCCACCCTGCAATTTTAAATTGTGAATGATAACATTTTTACAACTTTTGCGTTTACCATTTTCTCATCACGTTCAAAACCGATGATATAACGATTTTTTTTTTCTCGTTGACTCGCCCTGTATAAGTATACGCGAAATTAGCGTTATCCTGATGACGCTATCAAAATAATTGAATGGAGTGGTCGCGAAATAAACGCGCGACAACCTTCGACGATAATAGGCGATAATAACGTTTCAATAAGTCCGATAAACAAACACGTTTTAATCGTGTTTATTGACAGTGGTGTTAAAGGAAAGGTTTTTTTCTCGCGATATTGGATTCGCGTAAGTCATTGCACAATATTTTCTTTTTCTATCGCATTTAAAATCGGTAGACTCGATTTCCGTTGGAGCACTTTTCAATGTTGACTTGATATACCCCTGCTGGTAGCAGCAAGTGTTTTTGCTGGTATAGAAGCGCTTTTTTTGAGTTTCGCAGCTCCTCGGAAAAATGTCTTAGAACGTTTGTGGACTTTGATGGTGCTTCAAAGACGTACTTCCAAGAAAATATGAAACTAAAATTTGCATTGTTTCACGTACAATGCAATAGGGACCGAAATTTATGTTTCTAGTTGATGAAGCTAATTTTTTAAATGGTACCGATAACGGACCAGATGTTTTCATGGGAACTTTTAAAATCAACATTGAATTTTAGCTTTTGCCTGGAAAAAATTGAAATTGTACATTTTTAATGACATTCTTAAAATTATTTAGCCAAATTTTTAGATGGAAGTGATTTTTCCGAAGAAAAAACATTTTTGAGCTTTTGAGTGGAAAAAAAAATGTTTTTTCCTATTTCTCTAGTTTTCTACTAGATATAAGAAAAAAGTACCAATTTGGCAAAAATTTTCTAAATTAACATTTTCACGCAAAAATTTTTTATACGAAATATCGCAAGTTCGTAGTTTTTTTCATATAACGCTGAAATGGGCAGTTTTTTAATTATTTTAAAATAAAAAAAAAACTGCCCAAATAATTGTAGCCCCTATCCAAAGAAACAGATTGACAGTATACAGGATCGCCAATTAATTACAACAAATTTTAGATTTTTTATATAAAATCATCAATCATCATCAAAAAATGTATTAAAATTATTTACCAAATTTTTTAGATGGTAGTAATTTTTTCGTAGAGAAAACATAAATAATAATTATAAATTCTAGGTTTTGTGTGGAAAAAAATTGCGAATTTACGCTTTTATCTATTTCTATAGTTTTCTTCCAGATATGAGAAAAAAGTATGCATTTCGTAAATTGACATTTTCACGCAAAAGCTAAAATTTAAAATTTTTATACGAAATTTGGCAAGTTTACAGTTTTTTTTGTATAACGGCGAAATGTGCAGTTTTTTAATTATTTTAAAATTAAAAAAAACTTCCTAATAAATTTTAGCCCCTATTAAAAAAAAATTGACAGAACAAGCTGTATCTCGGAAACAGTAAAGCGAAGAGAAAAGCTTAAAATAAAATTAGGCATGTAAAAATGCTGTATATTATTTTTGAGTTCGTAAAACGACAGCTAGCTGGCGTATTGGTCACAAAAAAATTAAAAATCGGGATTTTCTCTATAACTTGCTTACGTAAGCTAAGCGAAATTACTTTTTTTAGTTCATTGAAATAATTTTTTAAACAGTACACATAATGGACTGGATGTTTTCATGTAAAGTACTAGTAACAACACTGAATTTTAGGTTTTTATTTGAAAAAAATTGAATGTATACTTTTTAACGAAATTGTAAATTTTTGATTTTGTATAAAAAAGTGTGAATTCAAAAAATTTATTAAAATTTTCCGATTCTGATTTTTTTCTTAGGAAAACATAAATAATCGTAAAGTCTGTTACGTGGAAAAAATGCGAATTTGCATTTTTCTTCGAATTTCCAAATTTTTTTCTTTTTTTGCAAAATATCGTAGAATAATTAAGAATTTACACTATTTTCTATTTCTATAGTTTTCTACCAGATATAAGAAAAAAGTATGCATTTTGCAAAAATTTTGCAAATTCACATTTTCATGCAAAAGCTAAAATTTAAAATTTTAATACGAAATTTCGCAAGTTTACCATTTTTTTCGTATATATTTAAAAATAAAAAAAAACTACCTGAATAGTTTTAGCCCCTATTAAAAAAAATTGCTTTACAATGTACAAGAAGGTCAATTAAGTTCGGTAAGCAGCTGTAGAAAAGCTTATAATTAAATTGAGAAAATGTTATTTTTGAGTTCGTAAAACGATCGTTAGCTGGTCACGAAAAAAACAAAAATCGGGATTTTCACTATAATTTGCTTACTTAAACTACATCGATCTTTGTTCTACTCGATTTGCAGATATATCGTGAATAACTTTTGGCGTCAACTTTTTCTCAAATTTTCTTCAAATAAAGTTAAAAGAGGAGGAGGGTGAGCGTGAACTTCATTTTAGAAAAACTTTCTTAACTGTGAGGAAGAAGCAACTAACGAGACATATTTCTTCAACTTTAACGTTTCCAGTAAAGCTTGTATAAAATCTGTCTAATCGTTCCTCGTATATAAATTTCCTTGAAGGTTTTTCAAACCTCATTACATTACATACATAATAATTACTAAACAGTTAAACGTTAAATCACTTAAAAAGCAAGGACTTACACAAATACGCTATAAAATTCCAGCGATATGAAATATACTATTCTATTTCTGACAATAAAATGCGGAAATTTTGAATTCCTCCGTTATCACGGCAAATTGTAAATAGTGATTTGCGCGGAAAGCACTCTGCTCATTTCAATATTTTTCGCCTTTATGCCTTATAAGTCAGGTTTATTTTCTCGCTTTCTCGCCATAGAATACCAGCATATTTTTTGTATCTATGTCAAAACTTACGGATATACAGGGTGATACAAGAAGTTTTATTTTTTCGCATCATATATTTATATATATTAAAAATATAGTTCTTGTTGGTAAGAAATTAGATGGTGTAATCGGTTATGCGATTACTTGCAGATGGCGCCACCTTCACTCACTTTTTTTTTATTAATTTAATTTCTTAAAAGACAGTATCATTTTGTGGAAAAAAGGTATTATTGTTCAATAAACGTATTTTAAGCTGTATGCTTTTTTGCCAACACGAGATAGTACAATTATTACAATTCCTGGAAATTATTAATTTATTGCCAGATATTTTAACTTCATAAAGAAGTGAGCTACTAACTATGATATTGTACTTTTTAAATAATTTTCTATCTTATAAAATTAAAGTAAGCTTTGATCGGTTTTTGTTCAATAAGCAATCGTAGGAAGCTTAGTCGGATGCTATAATTGTGACAGTTATGTGATATTTCAAATTGAAATCGAGGAATGAGAGATTATGACAAAAAAATTTTTTTCATTTGGGTTTTTCATTAGTTATAGCAATAGAAAAATAACAGGTTGCTTTTTTCTGTTCTTAAAAGTCTTATTTTTTCCCCATTTTGGTTTTTCATTAATTATAGTAAAAGAACACACGATGGTTGTGTTTTCCTGTTCTTAAAAATCTTTCTTTTTCCTCATTTTGATTTGTCATTAGTTAGTAGTACCAGAAAGCACAATAGATTGTTTATTCTTTTTCTTAAAAGTGTTTTACCTTTTTCCTCATTTTGTTTTTCATTAGTAATAGTAATAGAAAACACAATAGGTTGTTTTTTTCTGTTCCTAAAAGTCTTTCTTTTTCCACATTTTCATTTTTCATTAGTAGTAATAGAAAACACAATAGGTTGCTTTTTTTTTCGGTTCCTAATAGTCTGTCTTTCCCTCATTTTGGTTTTTCAGTACTAGTAGTAATAAAAAACACAATAGGTTGTTTTTTTCTGTTCCTAAAAGTCTTTTTTTTCCTCATTTTGTTTTTTCATTAGTAGTAATAGAAAACACAATAGGTTGTTTTTTTTCTGTTCCTAATAGTCTGCCTTTCCCTCATTTTGGTTTTTCAGTAGTAGTAGTAATAAAAAACACAATAGGTTGTTTTTTTCTGTTCCTAAAAGTCTTTCTTTTTCCTCATTTTGGTTTTTTATTAGTAGTAATAGAAAACAAAATAGGTTGTTTTTTTTTCTGTTCCTAATAGTTTGTCTTTCCCTCATTTTGGTTTTTCAGTAGTAGTAGTAGTAATAAAAAACACAATAGGTTGTTTTTTTCTGTTCCTAAAAGTCTTTCTTTTTCCTCATTTTCATTTATCATTAGTAGTAATAGAAAACACAATAGTTTGTTTTTTTTCTGTTTCTAATAGTCTGTTTTTCCCTCATTTTGATTTTTCAGTAGTAGTAGTAGTAATAAAAAACACAATAGGTTGTTTTTTTCTGTTCCTAAAAGTCTTTCTTTTTCCTCATTTTGGTTTTTCATTAGTAGTAATATAAAACACAATAGGTTGTTTTTTTTCTGTTCCTAATAGTCTGTCTTTCCCTCATTTTGGTTTTTCAGTAGTAGTAATAATAAAAAACACAATAGGCTGTTTTTTTCTGTTTCTAAAAGTCTTTCTTTTTCCTCATTTTGGTTTTTCATTAGTAGTAATAGAAAACAAAATAGGTTGTTTTTTTTTCTGTTCCTAATAGTCTGTCTTTCCCTCATTTTGGTTTTTCAGTAGTAGTAGTAGTAATAAAAAACACAATAGGTTGTTTTTTTCTGTTCCTAAAAGTCTTTCTTTTTCCTCATTTTCATTTATCATTAGTAGTAATAGAAAACACAATAGGTTGTTTTTTTTCTGTTTCTAATAGTCTGTCTTTCCCTCATTTTGATTTTTCAGTAGTAGTAGTAGTAATAAAAAACACAATAGGTTGTTTTTTTCTGTTCCTAAAAGTCTTTCTTTTTCCTCATTTTGGTTTTTCATTAGTAGTAATATAAAACACAATAGGTTGTTTTTTTTCTGTTCCTAATAGTCTGTCTTTCCCTCATTTTGGTTTTTCAGTAGTAGTAATAATAAAAAACACAATAGGCTGTTTTTTTCTGTTTCTAAAAGTCTTTCTTTTTCCTCATTTTGGTTTTTCATTAGTAGTAATAGAAAACACAATAGGTTGTTTTTTTTTCTGTTCCTAATAGTCTGTCTTTCCCTCATTTTGGTTTTTCAGTAGTAGTAATAATAAAAAACACAATAGGTTGTTTTTTTCTGTTCCTAAAAGTCTTTCTTTTTCCTAATTTTGGTTTTTTATTAGAAATACTAATAAAAAACGCAACAGATGTTTTTTTTTATTTTTAAAAGTCTACTTTCTTTTTCGATATTCACTCTCGTCTGTTACTGAGTGCATTTAAAAATAATATTTTTAAGAATAAATTAATGGGATTACACACATAAAAATGTAAATATCTTTAAAACGGCTTGAAATAGAGGTCGAAGAATAATACTTAGATAATAGAAAAAAATTACCGTGTCTTACCTGAAGTTGCATTTGAGAATTTTCATAAAATGTTTGTCATTTATAGGCAAATGTTTGTGCCTTTATTTTTTAAAACTCTGAAAGTAGGTAATAAAAAACTAAAAAATTAAATTACTTTTACCACCCTGTATCTGCGTAAGGTTTGACTTTAGGACATAGGGTTATTTAACCAATCGAAATATTTTGATACAAACAAAATGCTCTATATAAACACGATTTATTTACCTAAACATTTAATCAGATATAAAATTTAAATTATTATTATTATTCAAACGAACCAGCCTTTTTTGGTATTATTTAAAAGTATACACATTCTCATTGGTGCAGATTTACCATATAAAATCAACTTTTTTATTTTTTATTAATTTTATTCTGATAACAAGTTAATTTGTTCTAGTTTACCGATGTACTAAGTTGAAATTGCCGTCTATCCCCTAATAACTATGTTTCTAGACTGTCACGTCACGTCACGTCAATTTCAAATTGTGTTTACGTATGAAAAATTAAAATTTTTAGATTTCAAACACCTGAAATGGTCTTGAGCAGCGTACGATTCATGAGACAGCAACGCTTTTGCAGATGTCGCAAGAGGTACAAGAATGCCCATCATAACACTTACTCAACAGGTAGATAACGACCTTCCAATATCTGATAACGCTCGTAAAACCTATTAGTTAATTAACAAAATCAAATTTAAAAATAACATTCCTTGAAGAAGCCGCTTTGATCACTCCTTTGGACGAGGCCAAACGATTTATGGTGGACTGTTTCGTTGCCGTTAAAACATCTCAAGATAATGCACAAATAATCGCGGATAATCTGGTTGAAGCTGATTTCCGAGGGCATTACAGTCATGGCATGAACAGACTCGGTATGTATAGTAAATAATACGGGAAAAATACCTTATGTTAGAACGACGATTATCGTGTCTTCTAGACATGTACATCAGAGATATACAGCACGGTACCACCGATCCCAATGCCAAACCGGAAATAGAAAAGCAAACGGCAGCTACAGTTCTCGTAAATGGACATAACGGGATGGGAGCGGTAGTAGGGAAGAAATGTATGGAGTTTGCGATCGATAAGGCCCGTGAGACTGGAGTGGGAGTAGTCGTGGCTCATTGTACGTAAATCACAAGGAAACTGTTTTCTAACGAACCTAAATAGTGCTTGGTTAGCAGTGCAGAAATATCATTAAAATTAGGGAAAGCTTCAAATCGCCAAGCTTGGACCACAAGTAAAATGCTCTTTTCTCAACAATGGCTACTAGTAAACAAAAGACTGGAATGAGCTTTGAGAAATAAAAAAAAACACTAAATAAAATGGGACAGGTAGACCTTTGTAATTAATTAATAGGCCAAAACAAAGGAAAGATTAGATAATATAAATAAAACAGGAGAAATAGTTCCAACAAACTTCCACTAATTTTCTGGATGCCTCCTGTGTCGGTTGTTTTTTAATCAAACTTGCTGACGTTTCGCCCATCAACCTGAGCTTAACTATACCTGCAGCTAAAGGAAGGACCTGAGTGGAGGTTGCTTATAGATTTCTATAGATTTCCAGATTTGTCGTTGTTAGAAGAATTGATTACATGCAAGAATTTTAATAATACCGAATAACATGTGATGTTCGATTTCGTGATTGTGTTAGGTATTTAAATCTAATTGATCGTTAAGCAATACATTTTAATGTCTCATTTAGTTAATCTCCATGGCCTCCAATAAATTTAATTTTCTACTGTATGTGGCTGTATGTAAGATATCAAAATTGTCGTCAAAAATGTGTTTTTCTGTGTTTAAGTGTGTAGTATACTTAAAATCTAGACTATTGTTTTTAATCGCTCTTCTATGTTAGTTAATGCGTTTCTTGAAGGATCTATCCGCATTTCAACCTGAAATCAATCTAATGTAGAAAATCTAATTTGTTTTGCGCTTTCGTAATAGTTAAGTCTAAAAAATTACGAAAGCGCAAAACAAATCAGATTTTTCAGTATATCATAAACCATCAGACACAGACACAGTCATACATAACAGCTCAAATCACCCTTATACACACAAAACGGCTGCATTTAACTCTTTTATACACAGACTTCTTAATACGCCTCTCTCAACAGAAAATTACAACAAAGAACTTGATATCGTTAAACAAATTGCACTAAACAACGGCTACAATCCGTCCATTATCGATAAAATTATAAATAAAAAACAAATCCAGACAACACTAAACTCTATTTATGCGAAACCTAATACAGCACACGAACAATTTAAAACAATTACATACCTAGAACCTAGTGAAAAAGTTTCAAAATATTTGTCAAAATGTGGTTTAAAAATAGCTTTCAGAACTAACAACACAATAGGAAAATATTTAAAAACAATCGAACGAAATGCCCAAAATCTCAAAAATCAGGTGTCTACAGGTTGAAATGCGGATCTTGTCCTAAAATTTATATTGGACAAACAGGTAGATCCTTCAAGAAACGCATCAAGAGCGTTTAAAAACAATAGTCGAGATTCTAATTATGCTAAACACTTAAACACAGAAAATCACATTTTTGACGACAATTTTGATATTTTACACACAGCCACAAAAAGTAGAAAATTTAATTTATTGTAAGCGATGGAGATTAACTAAATGACACATTTGAATGTATTGCTTAACCATCAATTAGATTTAAATACCTTTCCTTTATTGAACTTAAATTCTCACAACATTAATTAAGGTTTTATGGTCATTTTTCGGTATATATGGTAGCAGGTAGTTTGTAAATATTACATTTGATAAAGGCACGGTGTTGTCGAAACAATTGTCATGTCATAATATCAAATTTATATTGGACAAATGACCACGAGACTTGCTCAACATTGGTCGAACAATTGTTTCTACAAAAACTTCACTATCTCTGGAAGATTTTCCCCAGCATATAATAGTGTAACATTAGCAAGATTGAACATATCTGAAATAAAGTAAAAGCTGAAGATCCACACTGGATCGCAGTCGCCAAATAACAAAAGTATGCATCAAAATAAATAAGAACTAAAAGTTCAGATTTTCACGAAATTATATATTTTGACATGACAATTATTTCCCTTCTAACGCAACACTATTGTATTTTGATGTACAAAACTTATTTCCCAGTATTCCACCTATGGATGTAATAGATTTAGTAGATTTGACCCTAACTCCGAAACAGGTTAACCTATTGGTGAAACAAGATTTATTAGATTGCTTAATAGTCTCTTTAGACCAAAATTATTTTGAATTTAATGGACAGATTTATATTTCTAAAGAAGGTTTGATTATGGGAAACCCACTTAGTCCTTTGTTAGCCGAGATTTTTATGGATAATTTGGAAAATATCATACTAGAACATCCTTTAAGTAAAAGTTTTCTATGGTGGTATAGATAGGTGGATGATGCCTTTGCTTGCTTTATTGGAATGGACAGACAATTGAATTCTTTTTAAATTACATTAACTCATTACATAATCGTATAAAATTCACTATCGAGATTGAACAGGAAAACTCTATTAATTTTTTAGACTTAACTATTACGAAAACTCAAAACAAATTAGATTTTTAGATTTATCATAAACCTTCACACACGGACACAGTCATACATAACAGCTCAAGTCACCCTTATGCACACAAAATGGCTGCATTTCACTCTTTTTTACACACACTCCCTAATACGCCAGTCTCAACAGCAAATTACAACAAAGAACTTAATATCATTAAACAAATTGCACTGAACAACGGCTACAATCCGTCCATTATAGATAAAATTATAAATGAAAAACAAAGCCAGACAACAGTAAACTCTATCCGAAACCTGATACAGAATACGAACAATTGAAAACAATTACATACATAGGAGAACCTAGTGAATAAGTTTCAAAACTTTTATCAAAATGTTGTTTAAAAATAGCTTTCAGAACTAACAACAAAATAGGAAAATTTTTAAAAAACAATAAAACAAAATGTCCCAAATCTCAAAAATCAGGTAGATCCTTCAAGAAACGCATTAACGAACATAAAAGAGCGTTTAAAAACAATAGACTAGATTCTAATTATGTTAAACACTTAAACACAGAAAATCACATTTTTGACGACAATTTTGATATTTTACATACAGCCACAAAAAGTAGAAAATTCAATTTATTGGAAGCGATGGAGATTAACTAAATGAGACATTTGAATGTATTGCTTAACCATCAATTAGATTTAAATACCTTCCCTTTATTGAACTTAAATTCTCACAACATTAATTAAGGTTTTATGGTCATTTTTCGGTATATATGGTAGCAGGTAGTTTGTAAATATTACATTTGATAAAGACACGGTGTTGTCGAAACAATTGTCATGTCATAATATATAATTTCGTGAAAATCTGAACTTTTAGTTCTTATTTATTTTTATTCTCGGGCATCTTCAAAATTTTATCAGGCGGGACAGCATTTGGTGCTAATAGTCGTTTGGGTGGTGTATTTTTATTTATATAACGTCTTTCAAAATGATCGAAATAAATTCGTAGGCTGTTTGAAGACCACTGGTACGGAGCAAAGTCCTTCCATTGCTGGCGTCTATACAATTATTTTATTAAACCAAATTTTTAATATTATATCATCAAATTTAATTAAAAAACATTTAACAACTGAACTGAGGTAGTTGCTACTTGATGAAAATCCATTTATCAAAATAAATAAGAACTAAAAGTTCAGATTTTCACGAAATTATATATTTTTACATGGCAATTGTTTCGACAACACCGTGTCTTTATCAATGACATTTGATAAGGACACGGTTAACCGACTTCTAGAAGTAATATTTTAGGATAGCAACGTTAAATATTATTGGTTAAAAACCAAAAAGAGACTATAGCTTAACAGCAAAATTCAAGGTTTATCTATGGATAAAAAAATTTTCTTAAATCTTGATCTTACTAAAACAAATCTTGAAACTTGTAAGGCAGATAAACTGTATAATTGAAAAAAAAATCCAGTTTTATTCGTTTGCACAACCAAATATATTTTGAAGAAAAGACAGACAGCCTAGGGCCATTATAGAGAAGCTATGCTGCTATTCTTTGTGATGAAAGATGGCTGTGATTTACTTTTATTAACAGAAACTTGACTAAAAGAAAAAGAAAACATTTTACATGGTCCAAGAGTTTACGATGCGGTCAATATGTGTTTGGGAAAATATAGAATGTTATAAAATAGGAAGGTCTAATTCTGTTAGAAGAATCAACTGGTAGTGTGTGCGTTTGGGTGGGAAAAACCTAAAAATAAGTGTAGTCCAACTTAATCTGTAAAGTTAAGATAGGAAGTAATAATCTGTCAAATGACCAACAATTAATAATCACTACAGAAGACAATATAAAAATAATTAAAAAAGTGGAAATAATAAAAATAAATCATAAAAAATTTAGAAGAACAAAAACTTACAACGAAGTTTAATACCTAATAAATTTAATCACTGAATGCAAAAAAACAATCGCAATTGGCTAAAATATATAAAGTTCGTGAAAATAATAGTTGAATAAGAAAATAAAAGTAGATGTAAGATAAATAAGCACAAAGTTAAAGATCCCGGCAACTTGATCATAGAAAATGAATTTAAAAACTCAAATGCCAACAATAAGATAAAGACAAACTGCATTCAATAGTGTCAAAAAACAGTGGGGTATTATTAATGACGTCTGTCAAGATTCAGATTAGTAGTATTATCAAAGATAATCGGGAAATAGATAATAAATAGGAAAGACCCAACGGTATTGAAAATTGGACCTAAAAATACTCAGCACCAGCACTATAATCAGGTTACAATGAGAGACATATTAAAGTTAAAAGAAAATATGATAAAAATTTTAAACAAGTTAATAAGTGATACAATTTCCAGAGTCGTTTTCCCAAATTAGTAAAAAAAATAGCGCCGTTTCTAAAGCAGAAAAGAAATGCTTTAGTAGACACCAATCTCAGTGCTAAGCATTTTTCCAGAAACTTATTGTAACGGTCTATTTTTCACCGTTAGCGCTTCCGCCAATTCGTGAAGAACCCTGGTAAAATTTTCGAACGGGAGGGTCTCCTTAGTAACACAGACAATTTTTTTTATTTAGGATCTTATTATTATTGGTGATTATTTTCTTCCAACCCTATATATAACGCCCCTGCGTTGTCTTCGCTGGTATGTGGATGTGCATGTAGACATGTTTGCATACTTCCTTAGGTTGAGACCTTAGTACTTCTTGGATGGCTAGAGGCTGCTCGGAGTTGTAACGGTTATTGTAGCCATTGCTTTCGTTCGTCCTGGTATATTCCTGCGACATCCCTCGCACTCGAGGCTCCGTAGCATTGCCTGTCTCTATTCTAGTTGTCGCTGCTTAAAAGGAGAGCGATCAAATCAGTATCCAAGGCTCTAAGAGAAGATATGTACCACATGGTTATTTCAGGTTAGTTGGTTGCTGTTCCCTGTATCCAGGTTGTTATGCACAGAGGGAGCATTTTACTACCTACCTGGCTGTTATTTGTACACATCTCCCTGGTTCTTGACTTAGAAGTGGAAGACTTTCAGTATTTGGTTTGCCGGCATTGTTTACGTCCATCGTCCATCTCTCTCTGTGTTGTATTCAGGCTGCACGAGTCGTTAAGCGAGCGGAAGCGTGGAAAACCCTCGCTAGAGGTAAGAATCTTCCGCTATAGTACACGGTAAACTGAGGAATTTGTTTACAGGGTTTCCTACTTGGCGTTTAGTTCCCGGTTTTAATTTCCGATTGGTTCTTTCTCTGTTTTGGATCTTCCTTTTTTTTTCCTGGATCTTGGACTTGCCTGTTCTACCTGCCTCCTACCTGGTGCGTCTGGATTTATGACTGGCTCGGTTTGGGTACTACACGTTCCCGAGCAGCACGCGCACCACTTAGAAGTTGGGATTGGGGATCTCAACTCGAATAATCACTTCGTATTTAGTGGGAAGTCGAATGCACAGTAATAAACGCCATCTCCTTGGCGGGTTAGGTAGTGTATAAATACGTGGCGCCCTTATAAAAACTCCCCACGCCCTTCTCCACTGTTTAAAAGCTGGCGGCCGCTACCGATACCCTTCTTGCCAATACTGTGTCTATGAGTGGCCGGCCCCATCCGACTTCCGCTAGACTGAAGGTCGTGTTTTAAAATATCGCCACATTATGAAAAAGCGTTTATCACAATACATTAGGGCTTTTAGTGCCACTCGCCAGTCATATTTCAAAGACACTAGATGACAGAAATTATTGTTCGTAGATCTGCGAAAGGCTGATAATATTTTACTCGAGAAATTTCAATTTAATAAATTGTAAAACTTTGGGATTACCGGAGCTATGCACGATTTAATTAAAACCTTTATTCAAGGTAGAAATAAAATTCGTCAAACTTAATAACATTTAAAGTGATACACTGTCAACTTCCTCGTAAGTGCCGCACTTTTGGGGCCTTTGTAAACAGACAACAAACTTAATTAATTATTTTTTTTGTCATTGTTTTTTCCGTTCTTGCACCAAGTGCCTCGCCTTCTATAATTATATTATATATATTATATAATATTATAATAACTAATCTAACGCGTTTATTTTTATTCTCGCAATAACAACCACAGAGATTTTTTACGCAGACCATTAGTGGTGTAGTAAATTTTCTCAACAGATCGCGTCTTATTGACTCTAAAGTATCAAAGACGACAAGTTTCATCTTCCAGCTTCCAACCATTACGGGATAGCCGGGATATACGCCCAACAGGCCATCAAGGTAGGCCTGATCGGTATGAGTTTTACTAATACGTCGCCCTTAATGACGCCTACCAGAGCCAAACAGGTAAAGCAGGACATTACTTCCCTTATTTCAAATTCTTATTGTCGAAAGTTGTAGGCTACGCTGGGCACGAATCCAATGGCGCTTGGGGCTCCTGCTCTCAATGGAGACTATTTTCTTTTGGACATGGCCACAACTGGAGCCGCATTGGGGAAGGTAAGATCAACCGTTGGACAATGCAGTGTATTTGAATTCCAAAAAAAAAATTTGAGATCCGAAATGCACACTGGTTCCGGAAATAGCTAGAAATAGCTGGAGATTACAAAATAATCCAAAATTAAATCCCTAATTGTTCATATAATAATTGGAAACTGATTTCCATTGATTTTATTTGAAATTGGTTTTCCTACTAATGATTTTTTATATTGCAGTGTCCATGGACATGTGCTGATTGTAGGGCGTATTGTAGTTGTAATTTCGGCCCTTTCTACGCAATAGCACTAAACTACTGCTACTACATTTTTAGAAAAAAGAGAAGTGATTTAGAAGCACTGACGAGAATGCTTTAATGCGTTTAAAAGGAAGATTCATCAATTTTCTTCTTATCTTCTCCTCCTACCCTTTCAATGAATGTTTGAAATTTTGTTCATTTTGATGGCACAGTATTTATGATTTTGAACATTTGGTTTTAAACCACGTAGGATATAAAGAAAGTATTTAAACAGGTACAAATATTTAAGGAAGCTTTTTAATCGTAATCATCTTCTGAAACTCCCTCTGAGTTATATCCCCTGGCTGGCAATTTTTGGGATACGATACAAGGTACAAGGTACTATTCCGCTTCATTCCTTTCCTTATATCATGGGAGTATGTTCTTCTACAAAGTCAACAAACCCAATCGTCATTGTGGACACCTGTTTGGTTATTGATAGTCTTCTTTTGATTTGGTGAAGGAATGTTTGTTGATGAAGACGCTTTGGGCTTTCCAGTTTCTCTGTTTAAGTATTTTGCTCTAGAGTTCCTCTTTTTGCTATTTGATAGAGCAGCTGAGGCAGTGGGAGAAGCTCGATTGTTTGCAGATAAGGTTCACCAAGCTGATGGTTATTTCAGTATCCTGCTGTAAGTGTAGATGTGCTTGTTGCATCTTCTGGTTCATAATGCGGGGTTTAAAATCGTGTTCTATTAACCCATTTTGTACCAGTGGTGCATTAATGCATCACCTATTCTATGATTTTTTTTTGCAACATCCAGGAAATATTTTTGCACATCCATTTAGAAATTTTATTATTATCACTACTAAAGGACATAAAACCTACTATATTGATTATTCCTCATTTTTTGAAAATATTTACTGGTGCGTGAATGCACCACTGGTTTTATCTATGAAAGAAAATTTTGTTATTGCACGTCTGGACAAGTCAGCGCGTGGACAATTAGCGTGTCGTTTAGTATTAGTTTGTGTCTTGTGCAGTGAACATTACAGTTCGTAAAATATGGCATTTTGAGGTATTTGACTCAAAAGGAATTAGATGCGGCTATGAAGGAGATCGTGATGAATGAGGACAATAATAATGAAAGACGTTGGTATTATTTGGACTTTCGTATTCTTGTGTATTGTAGCATTCCATTCCTTCTAAATTTATGCTAAAAATAGCTTGAAAAAGTATTTACAGAATATATTGATGCGGTTTATATTCCACCCGACGTGGATACATTGAGTGACGAAGAAGATATGAACGATAACATAAATCTACAAGAGTTTGGGGAACCACCTGATATAGTTGGAACTTTCGAGTTACATAACCGAATGATAGTCCTGTAATTCATCAACTACTGAACCTGAATGGGATTCATCAGATGATGAAACCCTGCAATTCAAAAGAAGACGTATGCTTTCTGCAAATGACAGGCTTGCTTCTATTGCCAAATGGAAGAAAGGTCATATTGAGTATACTCACACACCTATATCCGATGAATTTAGATCATATGAGGAACTAAAAAATAGACTTTCTGGAAAAACTCCGCTTGAAATATATTTTCGGTAAAGTATGCTCAAGACAATAACCATTAAATATTATGCTTTTTTTTGTATCAAATCAGGTTCTATTTGGAAAATAATCTACTATTAGTTGTTTTCTGCCGAATTTAAACTTTCTTTTGTATATTTAGGTATAAATTATATGTTACATCTTATGTGCCCCAAAATATTATTTAATGGTTTTTCCAAGTGTTTCAAGATTTTTTTTTGACACATGTAATGTATTCTTAAGTGCAACAAAATAAATAATATCAGAGCAAAAAAGTATTTTTTTTATGCTCGCGATAATGTGGGTTCAGCTTTTCTGTATTTTCCTTTACAAACTCTTGATTTTATCACAAAATTTACCGCATTTATTTGAAACCCAGAGTTTTATCTCATTTTTGATTACCAGTACTCTTGTGGAACCAACAGTTACGTTGGTTGGAACCACTCTTATCCCCGTCACTTTGTAAAGCCCATCGTAGCTCCAACAAAATAGTGTTCGATTCACCGACATTTTATCATTAACGTGGCTGGTATAACTTTGGTTTCTGAACAACCTCATTTGTCTCAGATAGAATTAGCAAAAAGGAAACAGCAACCGTTGCCGATTGGTTGGGCTTTGAACGACGAAGGCAAACCGGAAACGAATGCGGAAATCGCTTACAATGCGATGCAGTTGATGCCCCTGGGAGGCACCGAATTGAATTCTGGATATAAAGGATACGGTCTGTCGATGCTAGTGGAAGTACTCTGTGGTATGCTCTCTGGTAAGTAAAGTTTTGGCGAAGCACTTGCGCTTTGCTAGCACAAAGTTTATTAGTTTCAGTTCATATTAATTCAACTCTAAATGATTTTAATACAACCAGATCATTTCTATTTTGCAGCAAGTTTGTCTCTTTTTTTTAACTTTTATTAAAGTTCATCCAACTCATTTAAAAGAAATTGACGAATTAATGCCATTTATTAAAAAATGTATTTCGATATTATGCCAGGAAAATTTAAAAACAACTTCCAGTTAATTTAGGATATGTATACGAGGGACGTTTAAAAAATCCTGGAAATCTGGCTTAATTTTTTTATTATTTTGTTAATTTGCGTCAATATTATTAAAATGTACTTTTGCAACATAATCTCAATTTACCGAAATATATTTATCCAGCTTTGACGTGCTATCTGCAACCGACATAGTCTTGAAGATCTGAAGAATACTCCTCATCTACAATTCCTGCAGTTTTGTCAATTCTAGATCATCTAGATCATCGTATTGTGCACTATCATATCAGTATCATTTATTTAAGAATATTCTTCAAAATTATGCCAGGAAAAGATAAAATTGACTCTCAGCTAATTTAATATATGTATACGAGGGACGTTTCCAAAGTTCTGGAAATTTAGCGCTAATTTTCATTATGTAGTTTTTCAACATAAATTCAATTTAACGAAATAAATTTATCTAGCTTTTATGTGTTATCTGTAACGAACTATACTCTTGAAGAACTGAAGAATACTCCTCATTTAAAATTTCTACAGTTTTGTCAATTCTGGATCCTCACAGTATTGGGCACTTTTAGATCACTATCATTTATTTAAGAATATCTTTCGAAATTATGCTAGAAAAAGATAAAAATGACTTTCAGTTAATTTAAAATATGTATACGAGGGACGTTTCCAAAGTTCTGAAAATTTAGCTACAATATATATATTTATTGTTTTCTTAGTTTGCGTTAACATTATTAAAATGTAGTTTTTCAACATAATCTCCATTTAACGAAATACATTTATCCAGCTTGGACGTGCTATCTACAACCAACTATACTCTGAAGAATACTGGCCTGCAAATTTGGGTCAATTTTTTAATTATTGTGTTAGTTTGCGTGAAAATTATTGAATTGTAGTTTTTCAACATAATATCCATTTAATGAAATACATTAATCCACATTTTACCGCGTTACCTGAAACCAACTAGTCTCTCGAAAACCTGAAGAATGCTCTTCAATTAAAATCGGTATCTCACAAAAAATTCCGACAGTTTTGTGAATCATAAATCCCGAGAGTGTACAGCATTCACTATCATATCGATATCATTTTTTAAGAATATTTTTCGAAATTATGCCAGGAAAAGGTAAAAACGACTTTCAGTTAATTTTGGACATGTATACGGCTGACGTTTCCAAAGTTCAGGAAATTAGGCTCTAATTTTTATTATTTTCTTAGTTTGCTTCAATATTATTAAAATATAGTTTTTTCAATATTATCTCAATTTAACGAAATACATTTATCCAGCTTTTACGTGTTATTTGCAGCCAACTGTACTCCTGAAGACCTGAAGAATACTCCTCATTTAAAATTCCTACAGTTTTGTCAATTCTATACCCTCAGAGAGTGAGTGTATTTTGCATCGTATCAGTATCATTTATTAAAAAATATCTTTCAAAATTATGCCACGAAGAGATAAAAACTACTTTCAGTTAATCTAATATATGTATACTACGGACGTTTCCAAAGTTCTGGAAATTTAGCTCTAGTTTTTATTATTTTCTTAGTTTGCGCCGACATTATTAAAATCTAGTTTTTCAACATAATCTCCAATTAAACGAAATACATTTATGCAGCTTTGACGTGCTATCTGTAACCAACTATACTCTTGAAAGCCTGAAGAATACATAAAATTTCGACAGTTTTGTGAATATCTTTCGAAATTATGCCAGCAAAGGATAAAAAAGTCTTTTAGTTAATTTAGAATGTGTATACGAGGGACATTTCCGAAGTTATGGAAATTTGGCCCTAATTTTCTTATTTTTTTTGTTTGCGTCAATATTATTAAAATGTGTAAGGTTTGCGGGTACACGAAATTAAACAATTTATGTGTCGCTACAAATATGTAATTCCGAACTCAAGTAAAATACTATGGGTGGATAACGAAATATTCGAAATTAAACGCGTTTTCCGAGAATCGCTCCATAACCCTTTGCGGTCGGGGTTCTATTACTTCTCCGCGGTTTGTCTGATGCACGGTAGCGTGGAGGGTCGCGGCGACGGGTACGTCTGGGACGTGCGGCGCCACACATGGGCGTGCGCTTTTAAAATGTTCGTTACAAATGTAGTTTTTGAATATCATTTCCATTTAACGAAATACATTTATCCAGCTTTTACGTGCTCTCTGCAACCAATTGTACTCTTCAAGGACTGGAGGACTCATTTAAAATATCTACAGTTTTGTGAATTCTAAAGTCTGAGAGTGTATAGTATTTTGCACTGTCACATCAATATCATTTATTTATCTTATCAATATCTTTCGAAATTATGCCGGGAAAAGATAAAAACGTCTTTCAGGTGATGTAAGATATGTATACGAGGAACGTTTCCAATTTTTTGGAAATTTTGCCCTAATTTTTATTATTTTCTTAGTTTGCGCAAATACTATTGCAATATAGTTTTCCAATATAATCTCCATTTGACGAAATATGTGTATCCACATTTTATGTGTTACGTACAGCCAACTAGACTCTCGAAGACCTGAAGAACATTCTTCATTTAAAATTGGGAACTCACCAGAAAGTTCCTACAGTTTTGTCAATTCTAAATCCTCAGAGTGTACAGTAATCTGCCCTATCATATCAGTATCATTTATTTGTTTCGAAATTATGCCAGGAAAAGATAAAAACGTGAAAATCGTGAAAACTTCTGTTTACCTAAGCTTATATAACCTGATTCGAAATATCAGGTCCCAAATTTTTCATTTAAGAAACTTTAAAGTCAAAATAAGACCACTTCATATGAAACATTGTTTTTACTCTGTAGAGCAAATGTTAAAAGATATTGTCTAATACCAATTTTTTTTTGTTAATTATTTTGTCCTTTTGTGTTTATATGTTATGTATTACCTCTTTATATCTATTTATTGTAGATTTCATCTAATTGTATGCATATTGTATACTTTGTACGTTAGCAAAGTCAGATAATAAACCTATCAATCTCTCAATCCGTAAGGAATTTTTCCAATAAATAATAAATATAAAATATATAAATAAGGTTTTATTTCGTTTTGTTTTGCAAATTTGTATAAATAATATGCTTGTTTTTCGATTTTTAGCATACCAGTGGTAATTAATCTGGTGAGTTCTTCTATTAGCTTTTCAAATAAATTAAAAAAAAAATAATGTGTCATTTTGTACATATTTTTCCTAGCTGTGATCGCCGATTATATCTTCGCAGTATTCAAATATGGTCGTCCAGGGCAAACAATGTTTGAAAATCATTTGTGTGGTTCGATTTGAAGTGTTCAAATTGATTTTTTCAGGGTCATATTTTATGTGTTAGTTATTATGAGATGAAGACCCTCCCTAATAAAACTTTAACGATATTATTACCTATTGTTATTGGGTTTAGCCATTAACAAAAAATTCATTCTTAGTTGGGTGACAAGGCAGGGGTGGATATATTTTTGTGGCAGTGTTGAATAATCGTCTTCACTGTGTGTTTCAAAAAAGCGATTTGACGCTTGATGCAAAACAGGTTGTGAAAAACGTGAATGAAACTTTAATCAGTAGAGGACTTATTCAGCAAGAACAAACAACAAAAGCGCCAATATCGTTAAACTCACCGTATAGTGTTTAGGACTTAATAAGAAGGAAAATAAAATCGGATTTAAGTACTGCAAAATCAACAAGAGATAAGTAGTAAAAGATTACGTACTTGGAGATTTAATTACCTTCAAAAAATTAAAAAAAATTTATTAGACAACAGATCCATAATTTGCCTTGTAGAAACATGGTTCAATACACACGACGCTGTCTCCTAGAGGTCGATTAATTCCACTCAAAACTGTCACACGAAAGTACCTTCAAATAAAGGAAAACGCATCACCCAAATAGAGGCTGGGTCAGAAGACGGATTTGTCCCAATCTGCTTGCTGTTGTCTGCAGAGAATACTAAGTATTCTAGCTCGGATTGTAATGAGGATACAAGTGCCGAACTTTTTTAAAATTGGTTTCAAAACAAATAACAGTGTTATTGTCATCAAGTTCAATAAATTTGATAAAAAATGTAATTAATAAAATACCAAATCAGTACGGCACATTATTAAAATTGAGCATTCTTACATTTCTATACAACACAAAATAAATCCTATTATAATTAAACTCAATGACGATTCTGATAGTGAAACAGAATTAGATTTAGACAGTTAGAATAAAAATGTAATTATGTAAACATATTCTTAGCTATGAATTTATTGTGTTGTATAGTATAATTTAATAAGATTATACCCACCAAATAAAAAAAATTATATTATTACCAAAACCTTAGAGAATCCGCCCCTAATATTCTGTCCTTTGATACCTACCGGACCCGAGTTTTATTGCCGTCGGCAGGTAACTTCCATAATTGAAGCCAAAAGCCTGAACGGTGACGATTATGACAACTATACTCGTTATGGGAACCTATTCCTTTATACTTTCAAATATTAACAAATGAACCATGATTCGTGGCCAGTATCATATTTCCATTTATATATATTTGATATATGGCGATATTTCTATTTTTTCTTCCAAATCGTCAAAACTAAGCTTTTAGAATTAACTTACCCGTCTCTAAGTCCGCTTAAGTAGATTTATCTTTTCGAAAACCTTTACTGGTACCTTCATCGAATTCAGAATGTCTTCGCTGTTTGTTTTTTTGAATAGTTAGCAAATGTTTTTATCAAGAGTTAAGAAAGGCAAAATGCACCAAAAACCAAAAATTAATAAGCTTTTAGAGCGTAGAAAACACTTTCAACAGACATAAAATAAGATGATTTTCTAAAAAACAAACACAGTTTTCTTATAAAGGAAAGTTATTTATTTTGTTTGTCTGCCCTGAGACGCCATATTGAATTGCATTTCATTCAATGTGGATTACCCAATTTGCAAAAGTTTTTAAAAAGTCAAATCAGTGTCAATTTTCACGAATTTATTCTGAAAGATACAGAACCAAAACCGGCTGTTATAAAGAAATGGCAATGATTTTTTTTCAAAACTTTTTTTGACCCATAACCATTCAAGAACCAACTATAGCAAAGTGATTAGTTTATCCTCAACAACAACATAACTATGTAACTCTTGTTAAAATGTATATATTCTAAGCTAGTTGAGATGGTTTCTGCACTTCTAGGGTCTGCTTATGGTCCCAATATCAGGAAATGGGGGAAATCGGACAAAATTGCCAATTTGGGACAATGTTTTATCGCGATCGATCCCAAAGTGTTCGCCCCAGGTTTCGAGCAACGCATGACCGACCTCATGGGTTACATACGAAAGCTGAGCCCAGTAAGTGGTTGCAACTTTGAGATAAAATACTGATAAAATGCTGAAATCAACGTAGGTCGATCCTAAGTTGCCCGTTCTTGTTCACGGCGACCCCGAAAGGAATCACATGAACAAAGTCTGCCAGGAGGGAGGTCTGCGGTACGTGGAGAATCAGCACAAAACCAACGCAAAACTGGCGGACCAATTGAAAATTACGCCCATGGTGTCGAAGAGTTGTTAGAGCTGTCCAAACGTAGAGTATCTGTTGAATATTAAACGTACAAGAGGAAATAAATAATTGCGAATCGAAGTATTTTTTTATTTTTATTAATACTAGGGTAAGTCCAGGAGAGTGCGCAAAAATCCAAAGCGATACTTGAATGCAAAATATTTATTTAACATCAGAAGTGTGACAACTTTCGGTAATGAATGATAGTAAGACAAATAGTATCCCTAATATCTCCATAAACAAGAACTATTATTTATTTTGATAAATGGATTTTCATCAAGTAAAAGCCACCTCAGTTCAATTCCTAATATCTCCCCTCAAATAACATTATAATGGGTGTTTTTTTTCGATGTATAGAACTTTAAGTTGGTATTACTGTTCAAGATGGCGACCGATTTAACAGCTGTCAAGTGATTTATTCTCAGTTTGGTTTAGCAATTCATCTTGAATAGACTCACTCCTGAATAATGCCTGCAAATAGTGCAATTTTATTTACAAAATAATGGTTCTGTGCGAAATACTTATCGCGCACTACCTTCATTTCATATCATCCACAAAATCGTCCATCAGAGCAGTTAATTCGATTAACCATGAAACGTTTTCGAACCACGTTTACTCTTATTGATAACGCGCATCCCCAGAGACGCCGTACGGTGCGTACAGAAGAAGCTATTGCTGCTGTAGAGCGTAGCATTGAGGAAGAACCGAATGAGTCCCTCCGCCATCGAGCACAGGAATTGATCTGTGTCCATCCACTTTATGGAAGATTTTGCGGAAGGATCTTGGTTTACGTGCTTACAAAATCCAACTCGTGCAAGAATTGAAGCCAAACGATCATCAAGTAAGGCGTAGATTCGTCGAATGGGCCCAAAACGAGATTGCCGTTGTTCCCGATATTCATAAGCGAATTTTGTTTAGCGATGAAGCGCACTTCTGGTTGAATGGCTACGTCAACAAACAAAACTGCCGCATTTGGAGCAAAGCTAATCCTCAAGTGTCTGTCGAAACACCGTTACATCCAGAAAAACTGACTGTTTGGTGCGCTTTATGGGCTGGTGGAATCATTGGTCCGTGCTTCTTCAAAAACGATGATGGCCAGAACGTTACAGTCAATGGTGATCGGTATAGAGCTATGATTACTAACTCTTTCATTCCTGAATTGAATAACCATTGTGCCCAATAGATGTGGTTTCAACAAGACGGCGCAACATGTCGCACAGCTCGTGCCACAATCGATTTATTGAAAGACACGTTTGGTGACCGCGTAATTTCAAGTGAATTGGACTCTAAGATCTTGTGATTTAACACCGCTAGACTAATTTCTGTGGGGCTATGTAAAGTCATTGGTCTATGCGGATAAGCCACAAACGCTTGACCATTCGGAAGACAACATTCGCCGTGTTATTGCCCGGCCACAAATGTTGGAAAAAGTCATCGAGAATTAGACGTCCAGATTGGACTACATCCGCGCCAGCCGTGGCGGTCATATGCCAGAAATCATATTTAAAATCAATCGTTGTTTTATTGCAACTTAAACTTCTATACATCGAAAAAAAACACCCCTTATCATCAAGATATGAAAATTGCTTCCCAAAATGTAAATTTTACAGTATGTGAAAGAAAAAAATATATATAATGCAACAAGAGTGCTAAACGGTACTTCAGTCACGAGTTTATTTGACACAAGCGGAGCGAGTGTTTAATAAACGAGCGAGTTAAAAAGTTTACCGAACGTGTTGCGTACTATACTTTTTCTACGACAGTTAATTTTTGGGTACATTTTCGCAAAACAACACGAATACAATCACTGGCATGACCGTCAGAATTGACAAACGACAAAGTTCAAAGCGTGGGAAATATCTCCGAAAACATTCGAATGCTCCCATACCCGCGGGGTAAGATGCCGGAAATGTCCGAAATGGCTCGGATCGGTGCGTAATTAGGTATTTTACAAACGGGAGTATAAAAAATAGTATATTATGCAACAAGTGCGGTAAACGGCATTTGACCCAGGAGTTTATTTGGCACGATCGCAACGGAGCGAGTGCTTAATCAACGGGTGAGATAAAGAGTCTACCAAACATGTTGCACACTTTACTTACACCGTCACGAAAAAATCACAATTTAACAAATTAAAAATAGCAGATTATTGAATTACTAAGTCTCGTACCATTAAAACAAGATATTTACTAATTGCCATTAAACCTATTCGTTTAACCTTCCGATAGGGTCTGCTATTGTTGTCTCTTTTTAACTGCCTACGTTAGACAGAGAGAGATGTATTATCGGATATGTCATATAAACAACGGAATAAACAATTTTAAAACGCTATGTTGTTTATTTAACTTTTACAATTGATCATTACGTAGTTTATTTAAAGAAAAAGACTGCAGTTAGAAGAAGAATCATCCGAGGAAAGAACTTTTAAGAGGATTAAATTTTTAAGATCGTATAACCAAGAAAAAGCAGGTCCTAACCTTCAATTCTGTTTTGTTTGTACTGATGAGACGTGCATATGAGAAACTGATTGAATTGGTCTTGAACGGTATGTAAAATTTCTGTGTTAAACTTAAATTATAAATGCCACCATTTACTTATCGACCAGTCCTCTAGATTTTAATTGTAGTTTATGGAAAGTAGTACTTAAATTGTCTGATTATTGCAAAACATTTTTCTGTGTATTAGTTTTGGTTAGTTTTGGTTCTTTAGTGGGTACATTTTTGCAAAAACAACAAGAATACATTTACTGACATGTCATGCGTAATATTCCCGAAAACCCCCGATTGCGCCCGATCCGTGGACCGAGAAAGTCACACGTGGTAAAGTGATACTTCCCCCACTAGATCGCTAGATCGGTGTATAATTATATATTTTTCAGAAGGGACTAGAAAAAGTTATTTAATAGTAACAGTTTTAGTTTGAAATCATGTTTACGTAAAAGATATATTGATAAATATTTTTTCAGAAATCATTTTTGTATTAGGTTTCGATATGTTAATGGACTTATTCAAAAATCACATAAATTCTGTTTAACAAAAAGCATTACTATAAATGATACTTTTTTATTGGTTCCTTAAGGGAAACAAAAATATATGATATTCAGGTTTTACTAAAATGAAACATTGTTAAAAATGAAAGCTTAATCATGTTGAAGATTATCACAAAAAGTGTGTTAATGTGGCTGCATTTTAGGGATTGGAAGTTCTACAAACATTCTCCTTTTAATTTACCATCAATTGTCAATTAAAACAACTGAGCATTTTTTATTAAATCTGAAATTCAGAATGTCTTATTTTATATTCTATAGAAACATCAAGATTGTATTTCAAGAGTCTTATAATTTGAACTGTGTATCTCCAGCTCACGAGTTTATTTGACACGAGCGGAGCGCAGCGGAGCCAGTTTTTAATAAACGAGTGAGTTAAAAAGTTTACCGAACGTGTTGCATACTATACTTTTTCTACGACCGTTAGTTTTTGGGTACATTTTCGCAAAACAACACGAATACATTCACTGACGTGACCGTCAGAATTGACAAACGTCAAAATTCAAGGCGTTGGAAATATCTCCGAAAACATCCGACTGCTCCCAAATCTGTTCGGTAAAATCCCGGAAATGTCCGAAGTGGCTCGGATTCATGGGAAGCGAAACTGACGTGGTAAGATGACGCTTACCGCACGCCAGATCGGTGGTTAATTTGCTATTTTACAGACGGGAGTAGAAAAAATTAATTTTAGAAAAAAATTTGAAATATTCTATTAGGCTTTCCCTTGCAGTTTTTAACAAAAATAAGGGAGTCCGCCGGTACACTTATTACCTTCTAGAAATTTATCTTTCAAGCAATCAATTTGGGTATGACCCGTCTCTAAATATATTTTAACTTCACTGTAAAGGATAATAGATATGTTGTTGGGAGCCATGTTTAGTAAGAGACGGTACGCATAATAGAGGCAAAACAAATAGTTCTCCTTCTCCCGCGTGTCATAGAAAACATTAGCCATTCTTTGTGTGAAGATCAAAAAGAGTAAAATTATGAAGAAGCGGTTTTGTTTTCTAATAAAGTTCGAATGGGGACACAAAAGGGGATCCATGGTAAAAACCTGATTGGGTGACTCCTAATCTTTCTCTTTTTCATTTCTTGCTTCTTCTGTTTTTGATCTATGTTCTTGATAGATTTCCTTTCAAAAACTTTATGCTCGGTATTCTACGCAAGTGTCCTTTTTGGACCGAATAAATAATAATTGAATTCTTCAAAAAATTATTTAAATAGAGTGAATCCACTTGGTTGTTTTGTAAAAGTTGTAGAATTACCGAGAGTAACAAGATTAAAGTTTTGCCAAGCTGTTGAAAAATTGAACTGAGGTGGCTTTTACTTGATGTAAATCCATTTAAAAAAATAATAAAGGACTAAAAGTTCAGATTTTCACGAAATTATGTATATTGACATGATAATTGTTTCGACAACACCGTGTCTTAATCCAATATAATATTTACAAACTACCTGCTACTATATATACCGAAAAATGACCATAAAACCTTAATTAATGGTGTTGTGAGAATTTAAGTTTAATAATATAGAGGTATTTAAATCTAATTGATCGTTAAGCAATACATTTGAATGTCTCATTTTGTTATTCTCCATGGCTTCCAATAAATTTAAATTTCTGTGTTTAAGTGTGTAGGATAATTAGAATCTAGACTATTGTTTTTAAACGCTCTTTTAGGTGCATTAATGCGTTTCTTGTTTACTTACTTACTTACTTGTTTATTCAATATAAATTTCAGGACAAGATCCGCATTTCAATCTGTACGCACCTGATTTTTGAGATTTTGGACATTTCGTTTTATGGTTTGCTAGAAATATTTCTATTGTGTTGTTAGTTCTGAAAGTTATTTCTAAACCAAATTTTGACAAATGTTTTGAAACTTTTTCACTGGCTTCTCCTATATATGTAATTGTTTTAAATTGTTCGTGTTTTGTATTAGGTTTTGTATAAATGGATTTTACTGTTGTCTGCATTTGTTTTTCATTTATCATTTTATCGATAATGGACGGCTTGTAGCTGTTCAATACAATTTGTTTAATGATATTAAGTTCTTTGTTGTAATTTTCTGTTGAGAGTGGCGTATTAAGAAGTCTGTGTATAAAAGAGTGAAATGCAGCAATTTTATGTGGATACATAGAGACATGTATTACAGGACACACTCGCAACTTTTCGTTTTTGTTGTCCATATAAAAGAATAAGAACATTTAATTGTGATCGCTCCTTCTGATTTTCGGTTTCTGACCCTTTTTATACTTGACACAAGAGGACATTTTTTTTCTTTCTATGTAAAGTGCCAGAATTCTCCAAATATTTTTCGTCTTTTCTCATCTTTTATCAAATAACTTTTAAAGGCTGTTTTGGTACCACTTTTCTTCACAGCCCAAACATCTATTTTTTAGTTCTCTTTTAATTATAAGGACCATTGATTTACTATTCTTTTTTCCCATGTACGACGCCACTCCTTTTTTGTTCCCATTATCTGAGCGAAACCGTTTGGGTGGTATATAAAGTTTGAACTACTAAACAATATGGGATAAAAATTTAATTTTTGTAAAAAATGTCATCGACTTCTGACGAACATTTCTTCATTTTCGTGTAATTCTCTATGTTTAATATCGCAAAAATTTAGGCAAACCAATGTCAAAGAACCATAATATAAAATTAGTAACACTTACGATCACAAATTTCATTGGCGAATCATAAAAGCGATTATGTTAAGAGCCTTAAACGTTATTCATGTTTGTAAAATAATATCTTATGCATAAAAGTAATGGTTAAATTAACATCGTCCTAAATTTAGAATTTCGGAAATATTTTCAAATCGTTTCGAATTGCGAATGAATCCCATCGAAATTTGCTTATTTTTGGTATCAAGTTCTACTGCAATTCAAATTCGATTCAGAAAAAAATGAGATCTTACCGAGATCGAATCGAAAATTTATTCATGTAAACGCTAATTTGACGTCATTCTTTAATTTGATATACGCCAGGAAGCGCATAAATCCATTACATTAGGTGTTCGAATCATACAATCCGATGACATAAGTCTTGTTCGCTCCGCCTAACTTTAACGCACCTTGTAGGTAAAAATCTATTGGAGTGAGATCGGGTGATATTGCTGGCCAATCTCGCTGCCCCAAAGGTCGAAGCCAATGGTCATTAAATAATTCATATAATTCTGGCTACAATTCTTAAGTAAAGTGAGCCGGTGCCCTTTGGTACGAAGAGGTTTGAAGTTCCTGAAATTCATTTACTACTGTGCTTAGTATTTGAAGGATATTTTGTAGCATTTAATGGTTCATCGTAAATTAAAAAACCTACCGTTATATCTTTTAACGAGCAAAACACATTTAAAATAAATTTCCTTGGAAATCCCATGAGCAATGTCGACGGACCAAAAGTGTTCATTCCTCTTCTTAAAAATTTGCCAACAATGATTAATTATACCAAAGTAATACAAATTTCAGAAAGCAAACGATTTAGAGTTTTAGAATATATGATATACCGAGTGTTCCATTTAGAAAAATGCGCTTTTCCCCATTTTTGTATCTGGCAGACAAATAATTATATTTGACCAACCTTGTATAATGTACAACTAATTACGATATTAAGAAAAAATAAGCGACGTCCAAAACTTTGTGTTTTAGTCGGAAATATGAAGAAAATAATTATTATCTTGAAAACCGCCGAAGACAGGTGTAGGAAAGTAAAGTTTGTTCATAGATACAAGAAAGTGACTAAACTGATACGAGAACCGGACAAGCTGTAAAAATGAAATATGGCCGAACAGGTCCGTACTTTGCTTAGAATGTAATTATTTGGGGTTTTGTTAGAAAAGAAACTAAACAATATTTATTTATTTATGTATGTATTTATGCTCAAATCTAAAATAAAATTACTTCAAATTATTCACACAATATATCAGTATCGCTATCGCTATCATCGCCTGTTCTAATTATTATTTGTGCTATATCATTTGCAATATGAATATACGATTGCTCTGCTTTTTCTATATGTTTAACAGAATTTGCCCAACATTGTGGAGGGATGTTAAAAACTTCGGTTTCTATAAGTTTGAGGACATTGGAGTTAACACGGGGAAAAACATTGTTACGACGAACGGCAGATTTCAGTTGGTGCCAGACATGTTCAATCTGATTAAATATACAGTGGTAAGGTGGAAGCCTTAACACTGTATGCCCTAGATTTTTTGCATAATTATCACAGACGTATTCCTTTCGTAGGTTCAAGCTTTGTAGAACTTCAATTAATTGCTTTTTGGTATAATCTTCGTCAAAATAAATATCGTTATTATACATGTAGTTTTTGATTGCTGCTTTTGTGTCACATGAGGAAGGGGTTTTAGTCAACTGTCTACTGTGATAACTTGCATTGTCCATTTCAATGACGCTATTAGGAGGAATGTTTCAAATAAATCAGCGGTGGTGTCTTCATGGTAATCCAGAGAATAATCTTTAATATTTTTCGCAGACAGAGGAAGTTCATTTGGAATCCAACCACCTTTAAAGCCAGCATGCAAAATAATAATTCTTTTACCTCCTTTTGATTTCGCGTTTATTCACTTGTCAGTTGAGTCGACCCAACCCTTTTCCGGGGTATCATAAGTGTCGAACCAGGTTTCATCCAAGTAAATAATTGGCCTTGTTGTTCTCGGTAAATCCTAATTTTTTCTAGATATTCCAGTCGCCATTTCCGAATTCTAAAAGATTCCATTAAAACTTGCCTTTTGTCATTTTTTTTTTAAATCTAAAACCCATGTGTTGAATACACTTCCATAAGGTAGTTCTGCCACATTTAACACCGATTTCATCTTTTTCAAGCCTCCTAATTAAGATATCGAATATAGACACGCTTTGTTCCTCATATAACTGGTAAATTTTACGCCGTATTATATCTTGATCACTTTCATCTACACTTGAGAAAATGTCAGCAACGCTTCTTTTTTTCCTCGCTGAAATGGGATTATTCACAATTTTCCATACAGCTGATGTTGGAATGTTAGTCAATGGGGCCATTTCTTCTAAATGCTTGCTTGCTGGCACCACGTTCAATGACAGTCAAATAAACACTGTTTATAACTTCCTTAGTATCAATAGAATAGTGTTTTCTACATTTGGGCGGGAGCATCTACTGAGATACACTAGACTCGCACATATGTTGCATAATTCGCACACGATTCAAAACACGCCGTATTACACACGAAATAAGAATGATTACTAATAAACTTAAACTAAATAGTATACCAAACCAAAGAATATTAAGCATAGGTAGGTATAAAGTTATTTTCTATTACGGACCACAATTTTACCTAAATTTAAATTCTGAAACTATAGGTAATAATCTTGTTGCATTGTATGTTAATAACCACTGATAGATAATGAATCTCTAGCACGTTACACTTAATGATTGCACCGAAATTAAACGGTAAAAAGGGGTTTATTTGACGTAAACAACTGCTTGTGCCAGGCACACGCGGAGCAAGTGAATGCCCGGCGGCTGACAGGCTTCAGCGAGCGTTGTGTGCGGATGGTGGCGCCCTCTCACGGATCGTTGCCGAACTACGGCCCAGACTCGCGCTCCCCATTATGCGAACAGCCAGGAGGGCGAGTGTTGACTGGTGATGCTAACAACCACCCTTTGATAATCCCATTCAAAAGCAATTGATCACTTTCTTATATCTATGGACAGACCATACCATCAACCGTAAAACACCCCGTATATAGAGATATGGTAACAACCAGCAAGCCAATTAATTTATTTGGCGATAATTCGGTGTTTTGGAAATGTCTCCCGCTTATCTGTGAGTTATCTCGTTTGCATAACTTATGAATAAAATTTGACCGACCTAATATTTAACTACAAACTGTTATTATACTTATTTTATGTGACGCGTTCAAATAATTCAATGGGTGAGCATTAACTTAGATTGTAAAAAGATTGGGTGCTTTAAATTATTCATTATTTATATCATACTATAGTTAATTGTATCCATCCGTACTAGAAACCTATAGTCTATGGGCCGGGGACTTATTTATAACAAGTTGAATTTTTCTGTGTCGCTTCGTTTCCACAAGACGCCCAACTTTTTCCTGTGCACAAAACTTCGATCTTAATAACTAAGAGATTGAGCAGGTGTGAAACACATTTATTTAAGAGCAAACTCCTTAGTTTAATCGTGAAATAATGTTTTAACAAATATTAAACAATTTTTCTACAAAAAAAGAGATATGATCATTGTTGTTCCCCAACCCAATCATGTACCATTTCCTGGAACATACGAATTTATCACTAACCAGCTAATTTTTATACCGAAGCTTTATTTATAATCGTACAATTAAGACCTACATTTGAAAATTGACAATTCTATGGTGCCACTTCTTTTTATTTATAACCAGTATTTTTATTTTTTTTGAGTAACTTCGTTTTTACGAGATGTCCAACTTTTTCTTCTGCGAAAATGTTATATCTCAATAGATAAGAGATTGGGTAGGTGTGAAACACGTTGACTTAGTGATAATTCAAAATTTATTACCATTATTAGTTTATTTGTGAAATAATGTTGTAACAAATATTAAACAACAAGTGTCCTACAAAAGAAATGATATGATCATTATTGTTCCCCAACCCGATTATGTACCATTTAATGGAGCATACGAATATATCACGAACCAGCTAATTTTTATATCTAAACTTAAAAAATAATCATACAATTAAGTAGTCATATTGTCCTACAAGTTACATAATAGGTGTTCTCAGACCTGCATTTGAAAATTGTCATTTCTATGGTGCCACTTCTTTTTATTTATAACTAGTCAATTTTTTTTGAGTAACTTCGTTTTTACGAGACGTCCACCTTTTTCTTCTGTTTTATCTCAATAGTTAAGAGATTGGGCAGGTGCGAAACACGTTGACTTAGTGATAATTCAAAATTTATTACTGACATTAAGTTTCTTGGTTTAATCGTGAAATAATGTTATAACAAATATTAAACAAGTGTCCTACAAAAGAAATGATATGATTATTGTTCCCCAACCCGATTATGTACCATTTACTGCAGCATAGGAATTTATCACCAACCAGCTAATTTTTATATCTCAGACCTCCATTAAATTATCAATTATATGATGGCACTATATTATAATTTTGTTGATACAGGGTGTTTCAAAAGTGTACGCCCCGACATTAACTTTGTTATTTTAAATGGAACACCCTGTATGTTTCGGCATTTTTGGAATACTTGGTTAAAATAAAGGCCACTTTCTTAAGAAATTCCTATTCGAATTTTGCATAGTTTAGGCAGAAATTGAGGATATGTGTTTTTTTTTTCATATTTTGATTGCCTAATATAAAATTGTGTCGTTACGCTACTGAGCCAGGTATTGCAACCAAAATTTAACCACAGTCGGTGTCGTTTTGGAGAATTCAATTTGCAAAATTTCAAATTTCAGATATCAATTCTAAGACAATAAGGTAAGTTTGTCTTATTTGGGACACCCCGTATAAACTGAGGCGCATCTGTCAAACTGATCGTTTTATTTGGCACACGGTGTACAAACCTAACGTATAAATAAAATAAGAGCAAAGTATTAGCTGGACGGATGATCAACAAATTTATAATAATAATATCTGATAACTATCAATTTTTTGTAGGACACTATAACCAACCATATTTTTTTATTTGTGTCCTACAATTTGTAATGAAAAAAGTGCCACCATGGAATTGACAATTTTCAAATGTAGGTCTAAGAAGACTTATTATGTAGCTTCTAGGATAAAATGGCCACTGAATTGTACGATTATTAATTATGTTTAGATATAAAAATTAGCTAGTTCGTAATGTATTCGTATGCACCAGTAAATGGCACTTGATTCGGTTGGGGACAACAAAGATCATATCATTTTTTTTGTAAGACACTATTTTATTTCACACCTGCCCAATCTCTTAACTATTACGATCGAACTTTTTCGCAGAGGAAATAGTTGGGCGTCTTGCAGAAACGAAGCTACACAGAAAAATTCAGCTTGTTATAAATAATTTGTAAAAACAGGCCCAGGCCCACAGACTACTAGTATTTGAAATTCTTGTTCGTAGGTTAATTTAATGAAAATAAGTATCGGAAACAACTGAAATTTCTTCAAAATTTTCTTTTGTAAAATTTTTAAATCTATTTTCGAATAACCATAGAAGAAGAAACGTTGACGGTAATTCCGTTGGAGGAAGTGCGAAGATTCGTGGAAGACTGCTTCAAAGCCGTAGGAACTACTAGCGAAAATGCTTCCACGGTGGCGACAAATCTTGTCGAAGCAGACTACAGAGGCCACTACAGTCACGGGATAAACAGACTGAGTAGGTTTTTGTTGAGTTGTTTCACCGCACTCGTCCATTGTAGATTTGTACATACAGGACATCATGGCGAAGAGATGCGATCCCAACGCGATACCGAGCATCGAAAAAGAAACGGTAGCTACAGCTTTAGTTAACGGCAACAACGGCCTTGGTTCTGTGGTTGGCAAATATTGCATGGACTTGGCAATAGCAAAAGCCAAACAAGTCGGAATTGGGATGGTGTCGGCTTATGGTAATTTTTCTTTTTGCTGCCGCTTACAAATTTTTTGGATTCCTAACTAGTTGGCTTTTTCAGAGATTAACTGAAACTGGCTGATATGCTACTCTGTAATTAATTAATTATTTATTAATTATATTAAGAAAGAAAAAAAAATTAAATACAAGGGTTTGAAGATTTTTGCTCAATGTCAGAAAAATCAAACGATGATCGTAAGCTGTCAAAGTGACAGCAACATATTTTTTTAAAAATCTAATGCCCTACATGTTATTAGCTTAAATGATTTCAAAAACATATAGTTTATCGACCTTTCATTTAGAAGTTTTTTCAGATATTTCACGTGGTCAAGCCTGCCTTTGTAGCAACCATATTTTCTATGGTTGCAATTGTTCTAACAATGTTCTACTTTTGACAACTAATCAAAAGTAAATATCTGCCGCGTAAGTTAAATAACTTAAGATATTTCAAATATACTGAGGAAGAAAAACTCCAGATAATAAAATTATATTACTCAAACAATAAGAATATTAATAATTAATGTTAAACCTTTTCCACATAACCTCCATTATACATGGGCCAATATTTCCTTTCAATTTCCACGAGTTGATAAAATCCGCGGTATTTTCTCTTTAGATCTTGTAAACCGATGTTAACTATTTCTCTTATCAGTTGTAAACTTCCAGGCTTATTATAACAAGTTTTACATAAATATGTCACAAGGATTCAGGTCGGGACTGTTGGCAGGCCATTTGATAGTTCCTTGCTTACCTATCCAAAGAGTATATTTATTATTTAGATAATCGGTAAAGCCTGTTCATAGATATAAGAAAATGACTACTGATACTGGTGTTTAAATCTAAAATAAAATTACAAGTTATTTTTATTACCTACTTAAATTACTTAAAATGATTCACACGATATATCAGTATCACTATCGCTCTCATAGCCTGTTCTAATTATTATTTGTTTTATATTATTTGCAATATGGATATACGATTGTTCTGCTTTTTCTATATGTTTAACAGAACTTGCCCAACTTTGTGGAGGGATCTTAAAACTTCGGTTTCTACATTTGGGCGGGAGCATCTCCCGAGATACACTAGACTCGCACATATTTTGCATAATTCGCACACGATTCAACACACGCTATATTACACACGAAATAAGAATGATTACGAATAAACATAAATTAAGTAGTATACCATACCATACCATACATGTATTATAGTCATGGAAATCTCCGTTTTTTTGTAAAGTATTTTTATTTTTATATACCCATAAACAAAGTTCTAATATGTATACACACGCTAAAGTAATCTCGAAGAGATGTGAGCATATTAGAAATTTATCTACTATCTACTCTCCAGTCAAAACACAATAACTATGCAGCTTTGAAGAAAGAAATTGGCATTGAGTCCCGCAAAATAGGGTTTCGTCGAGCTCTAGTCCTAAAAATTTAGCGTGCTTTTTTAATTCAACGGCTACACTTGTTTTTTTGACATTCAAAAAGAGTTCGTTTGCAAGTCAAACGCTCAGTTCGCTCGGAAGTGACCACAGTCATCGCCAGCAAATATCAAATCGGTTGGATGCTTCTCCTAGACCAATGAAATTTTTCTGTTTTATATGAAATAATGTTAGGAATTTCAGGAATAGGGACTTTAGTAAACAAAGAGTCTACGTCGAAACTAATCAGAATATCCTACGAAACTAATGTAATGCTTTTCAATTGTTCAATGAAATGAAAAGAATTAAGTACCAAACTATCGGATTTCCCATAAAAGGTTTTAATATAGTAGCTACATATTTTGCTATAAAATATCAAAATCAAAGGTGCTGACAATAGGTCGAAGGGGTAATCCTGCTTTGTGAATCTTAGAGAATCCGCAGAGAAGAGAAATTTTAGAATCATTTGGGGTGCTTTTTTCACAGATTATGATAGTGGAGAAGCCTTAATAACAGATAAGGTTAGCTTTTGATGGTCGCTTGCAGTAGGTAGATTTCGAACTTACGCTGCGAATGAGAATCTGATTTCTAGTCAGACGCCTTATCCGACAGGCCAAGCCTAAATCTGTTTGAAACTCAAACTACTCCCGATGATGTGCCATGAGTTTGAAAAATACGGGCATTAAATTTTCATAATTTTAAGCACTCAATTCACGTATTTGACAAAATTTTCTGATATTAGGTTAGCGGGTAACTAAAAGTAAGCAAAACATTGATCATTTTCAGTAGCTAGGTTTCGAACCTACGCTTTGTTTGAAAGTCGAACTAATTCTGATAATGTGCCATGCGTTTGAAATACACGGGCATTTTAATTTCAGAAATTTATGCACTCAATTTGAATAGTTGAAAAAATTTTCTGATATTAGGTTCCCTGTTAATTAAAAAAAATCTTTTCGTGATATTCACTTCTGTTCATGACCACCATAGCATTTCCTTTATTTTCTTTTAGAATTACGATGTCAGGATTTGATTTTTTAAGGATTTCATTAGCTGTTGGGGATGCCAGTTTGTTAAGGATAGATTCGACATTTAAAATGATTTCCTTTTTCGGGATAATACGTGGGACAAGGACGAAGTTCGAACCTGAGTTTTCCGTGTCAGAAAATTGGTGCGATGATACATTTACAGGGTTTGGTAGTTGTGAACGGTTTGAAGGTTTTACTAGTGTTGACGTTAGTTTTTCAAATTTTTGAATGTGATTCTGGGTAGAAGATAAACGAAGATTTTCAGCTTTGTCATGAATCAAGTTTAAAAGGGTATCAAACTGAGATGGGGACAAGATGAAAGCAATTGCAATGTCTAGATATAGACGACTGGTCTTATTCTTTGCTTCCTTCTATATACAGATAAGGTCTTGGCATGACGTTATATTTTAAGAAAATTAGGGATAACTCTATGGTCTCTACGACGTAGCAAACAAGTCAGTGTACAAAGTAATTCTTTTTACTATTATTTGAAGTTTGGAAAGCCATCAATCAGATCTAAGAAAAACTATAAATCAAAAAGTCTTATAATTTATTACATTGAATTTTGTTTTAGGATCAAATCATTACGGAATAGCTGGAATGTACACACTACAAGCCATAGAGCACGGATGTATCGGAATCAGTGGCACTAACACATCTTTAGTCACTGTACCAACTAGATCCAAGACGGTTAGATTACTATAATGGAATATCTATAAACAAGCGTCTAGTGCACTTTTTAAAGAAGTTAATATAATAGATGGTGTTTTCAAATGGAATGTCAAAAATTAAGAGGGCGATTTTTGGGGCCATTTTAAAAAGAAAACTTCATAAAGGTCTCAAGTTTCGAGATACAGGGTGGTAAAGCTTTCAAAAAATAAAATATATTTTCTTAATATCTCTACTACCATTTTAGACATGTTAATGAAATTTGGCACACATGTACTGTGTATCAAAAGGCATTAACACAATTTTTTTAAACACATCAGTGGCGGGCGTTCTGAATTTCTATTGTCCTAGTAGACCTGAAAATAAGAGAAAGTACAATCAACATCATGGAAAAAATCTTTCTGATAGAAACTACGGGAATAGTACGCGAAGTAATGAACATTTGAAAAAAAAAGAACTACCGTTTTGCAGGCTAACTCAAAGTCCAACCAGCTTTTTGTCCTTCTGAGAGAGAATCGGAGAAAAGTTAAAATGCAGGAAAGTCCTGTGGAAAACATAATAATAATAATAATAATTAATTCGAGAATTTTTTGTGAAAAATAAAACATCTATGTAAAACAAAATATCTTGTTTTTACTTAGCAACTAGTGTCATTCAGAAAAAAAAATTGAATTCGTTTCTTTTTACATTTACAGTTTTAATGAAATAACATAACATCCTAACAACAAGATCAATAACAAGCGATTCTTATTTAAAAAAACACTACTTACTATTAATAATCTTTAACAAAATTGCCTGTTAATAAATTAATAACAACCTTTTTGGAGAAAAAGTAGAACATACTAGATATGTTGTTGAAAGTGTCCTCCACCTTGAAGAATACACTCTTCAGCTCTTTTCGTCATATTGCCGCGCAGCTCTTCTACAATGTTAAATGGGGTACAATAAACCAGACTTCTAAAATGACCCTATAAGAAAAAGTTAAATATTATCTTACTGCAACACTAAAGTGAGCAGGCGCGCCACATGCATGAACCACATTCTGTTCCTAACTAAATATGGTACTTCTTCTATCAATATTCTAAAAACCGGCTATAAATCTGGCCATTTAGCCTTTCTAGCAGCCCAAACGTCTACCAACAAATGTTCTATATATTTAAATTCTACATCTGCATGTAGGTTTCTATCGGTCCACATATGGTTACTGTGGAAATTTCTGATTGCATTTCTGGAAAAGTTAGCTTCATCTGTAAATACTATTTCTTAGTCAAAGTGCGTAAAATGTTTAAATTGGTATTGCAGATGTAAAAAAAATATATTTTATTTTTGAAAACTTAACCCCCACTTTTTTAAAATGGAACCAAAAGCCGCCGACTTAATGATTGACATTCAATTAGAACACACCATGTATAAGAAGGTATACCACGACCAGAAATATTGTGTTTTCGCAACCGACTCCGTGACTAACTTTACCTACTCTTTATTACTCCAAAACCGCAAGCCTTTATAGAACACTGCCGAACAGACCTTCACCCGTCACCATTCCAGGACCGTCCTAGGAATCTACACTACACTACACTAACAAGCGGAATATAAGTATATTTTCAATCTTTTTCGTCCGAGCAATTTTTGAAACATATCGTAATTAATTTACAAAATATTAAACTTAGTAATAATAATAAAGTCTCAGTCACTTAAAAAATCATCACTATCGCTGCTGTTGTCACCTAGTTCAATGATCAATCGCCACTAATCGTTATCGATTAATATTTTTTTCTTTTATTACTCCTTTTTCACAGCTACTTCTTGCCAAACTACGTTTATGGTATTATCACCAAACTTTGGTGCAGTGTTATTTCTTCTTATATGCGCCTTCATCTCATACCAAATCATCTCAATCGGCTTAATCTCAAGATTTCATGTACGTTTTGTTGTGCTATCGAACCGCGGATATAATCTTAAGTCTTAACAAATTAAGCCTTACAAATCGAAGAACTATGTAGAAGACACAAAAATGCAAGAAGAAGAATATTAAACTCTTGACTGGAATATTCGGCACTGCATTAACACACAATAACGTGTTTTACCACAAACCGAAACTAAATTTTCCATACTCGACGCGCGTTTCGCCAACCAAGTTGGCATCTTCAGAAGAAGATTAAAAACAGTTTTAATCTTCTCCTGAAGATCCAATGAAAAGAGCCTCGCAGACTCAAACCTGGAGAATCAGGTATGGTCTCTTCATAGATGTAAGAAAGTGACCAATTGCTTTTGAATGGGATTATGCAAGGGTGGTCATTAACATACAAACCAACAAGATTATTACCTAAAGTTTCGGAATTTAAATTCAGGTAAAATTATGGTCCGTAATAGAAAATAATTTTATACCTACCTTTGTTTAATATTCTTTGGTTTGGTATACTAATTAGTTTAAGTTTATTAGTAATTATTTCTATTTCGTGTGTAATACAGCGTGTGTTGAATCGTGTGCGAATTATGCAAAATATTTGCGAGTCTAGTGTATCTCAGGAGATGCTTCCGCCCAAATGTAGAAAACACTATTCTATTGAGACTAAGGAAGTTATAAACAATGTTTATTTGACTCTCGTTGAACGTGGTGCCAGCAAGCAAGCATCTTTAGAAGAAACGGCTACGTTGACAAAAATTCCAACATCAACTGTATGGAAAATTGTGAATAATCCCATTTCAGCGAGGAAAAAAAGAAGCGATGCTGACATTTTCTCGAGTATAAATGAAAGTGATTAAGTTATAATACTGTGTAAAATTTACCAGTTATACGAGGGACAAAGCGGGCCTACATTAGATATCTTAATTAGGAGGCTTGAAAAAGATGAAACCGGTGTTAAATGTGGCAGAACTACCTTATGGAAGTGTATTCAACACACGGGTTTTAGATTAAAAAAAATTCACAAAAGGCAAGTTTTAATCGAATCTTTTAGAATTCGGAAATGGGGACTGGAATATCTAGAAAAAATTGGGATTTACAGAGAACAACAAACTCCAATTATTTACATGGATGAACCCTGGTTCGACACATATGATACCCCGGAAAAGGGTTGGGTTGACTCAACTGATAAGTGTAAAACAAAAGGGCCATCAAAAAGAGGTAAAAGATTAACTATTCTGCATGCTGGCTCTAAAGATGGTTGGATTCCAAATGGACTTTCTCTGTCTGCGAAAAATATTAAAGATTCTTCTCTGGATTACCATGAAGACACCACCGCCCATTTATTTGAAAGTTGGTTTAAAAACAAACTAGTTCCAAACATTCCTCCTAATAGTGTAATTGTAATGGACAATGCAAATTTTCACGTCGACAGTTGACTAAAACCCCTTCCTCATGTGACACAAAATCAACAATCCAAAACTACATGTATAATAACGACATTTATTTTCACCAAGATTATACCAAAAAGCAATTAATTGAGGTTCTACAAAGCTTGAACCTACAAAAGGAATACGTCTGTGATAACTATTAAAAAATCTGGGGCATCCAGTTTTAAGTCTTCCACCTTACCACTATGTATATTTAATCCCATTTAACATGTTTGGCACCAACTGAAATCTGCCGTATTAACTCCAATGCCCTCAAACTTTTAAAAACCGGAGTTTTTAACATCCTTCCACAAAGTTGGCCAAATTCTGTTAAACATATAGAAAAAGCAGAACTATCGTATATCCATATAGTAAGTAATATAGAACAAATAATAATTAGAACAGGCGATGATAGCCATAGTGATACTGATATATTATGTGAATAATTTTAAGTAGCTTAAGTATAATTTATTTTTAGATTTAAACATAAATACATACATAAATAAATAAATATTGTTAAGTATCTTTCCTAACAAAACCTCAAATAATTAAATTCTAATCAAAGTACGGACCTGTTCGGCCATATTACATTCTCACAGCTTGCCCGGGTTTTTCCTTAATTCGTATCAGTTAGTCACTTTCTTATATCTATGAACAGACTTTACTTACCCTTATCCTTTGAATTATCCAATGAAAAGAGCCTGGTAGGGTCAAACCTCGAGAATCAGGTACATCAATACGTACTTACTGGAAGGATCACAGTCAAATACCTCCGTGATATATACGAACATAATGTAATTTAGATTAAACTCTTAAGAACGATTCATATCACCCGATGTTTAAAAATAATCGTTTCTACTTATTCGAAATTACATCATGTATCAATGCTTAATCACATTTAAAACGGTCCATTTACGTTTCATAGAAAAATTTCAAGTTTCTACAAATATTCGTTACGGTCCATCTCTGGCAAGACCTGCTTAATGCAGAGTAAACATCTGTTGGGATGGGTTTTACCACGATCCTGCAAATGTCTGCTGTTAAGGTACTCTCAAGTACTTAAAACGTCAAAGCAATAAATGCACTATATTTTTGGTCGTACAATAATTTAAAATTGGTCAAAACCTTAAGTCACGACTATATCCGCCATTTGTTTTAGGCGTCTTTGGGTACGAGTCCCCTGTCGTTTGGCGCATCTGCTAAAAATGGCGACTCTTTCGTCCTTGACATGGCTACGTCGACGGTAGCATTAGGAAAGGTAAGTGTTTGTCAGGTTGTCAAAAACGCAGTGTTTCTTGATAAAAGCAAGTGAGGCGCGAAAGAAATTAATTTCGTTGATTGTTTTGTTTTATCATTTTTTTGCATCGATTTAAAAAAAAGTGTTTTTCCCGTGGAATAAACAACAGTATACAGGGTGATTTAACAGGAAAAACCTATTTTTGAACTAGATAGAGGAAAGTAGACTTGTCAAGGGCCCGATTTTTGAGAAACATTTAATGGTTAACAGTTCAATATACTTCATTACCAACCTAGATATAGGACGTATTGCCCGACACGGGCATTCAATAAAAAAGTTGTATTCGTTTATAAGAAAACGGAGAACTGTAGAAAAAATCTACATTACTGCATTTGCTTCAAAATATGCCGTAAAGATGTTTCCAACCCAATCCAAAATTTTCATAAATAAAAATTTTATCAAATTTGAACATTTACACATTTACATTAAAATAATATAATATAATCAATGTAAAATGTTAAATTTTAACATTTTACTTTCTAATATTAATGTTTATTTGGTTGAAATAACTCTAATTTTGTGTTTTAAATCATCAAAAATATTAAAATTAAATATTCAAAATAATATCTAAAATTAAAATTAAAATATTAAATAGCTCTCGGGTGTCGTTTTTTTCACGTAAGTTATTTTCAATTGGCCTTTTCTTTTCTAAATTTCCGTTGCTTATTAAATTACATTGATTTCAAAAATTATATGCATTTATTTGTATCACGTAAGTATTTTTTGCCAATATTGCAGAAAAAAATTCTTTGGGAAAGCGATGAAAACTACATTTTCGAGAACTTGATTTTTCATCAAAATAGTTCTTATTGCACCCATACATGGCACATCTCGTTCCAGGCATACCTAACTATTTTTTGATGTAACTTATCCCACTGAGAATGGTAAAAGAAATGTATTTCTTACCTATATCGTTATGTGTAATATTTTGAGCTTACCTCCTAATTAATAACACCGCTAATAAGCAGCACGAACACAAGACTTTTAATTCTTTTTTTAAGGTTAAAAATACTGTTTTTCTCAGTTGCTGCCACTCAAGCACATACAATTTTAAAGTATTTGTTAAAGCTTATAAACACTGTTTTGTCTAAGTTTTTTTTACAGAAATACAATTAACACAAACATAAGCGCGCCACTCACCAGTTTAAATTATTTTAATTGTTCAAAGAACACAAAATACAACGGTTTATTACGCCTTCAAATGCATTGACAGAATACACAAATCCGTTAGAGGACTTCGCTTACGTCACATGCGACCACGTGCCATCGATAATTTTGGCGAACATATGTCATATGGGATTGGGCAATCCTATTAGGGTTACGATTCTTGAGTTACAACGATGTATTGACGCTTCTGCGCCAACTCTGTTTTGCTTTGAAATCTAATATTATGCAGTGTTGCCAAATCATACTTAATTTCATAACACTCAATTCATTTAAAAATCATTGAACAAACATATTCATGTCATAGCTATGTATATTAATAAAATAACATTTTTAAGATATAGAGTGCCATAAAAAAATGATGTGAGCATGTGAACAAAAATATGGGAAAAGCCCCCCCCCCCCCCCAAAAAAAAACAAATAAGCAAACATCGAAATCATTGTAGACCTATGTTATTCAAAAGATATCGAAGTGACGCCTTCTTGATATTTCAGCCTTCTTTTCATCACAGACACCAACAAATCTATAAGGCTGCGAAGGGCTCGAAACGTGGATTTTTTTTAATACCATTTTCGTAATTTAATTTGGGCATGTACGCATATGTTTGCTACTTGTCATTCATTATGCCTATGACATATTAACAACTTCAAAGTATTTTAAATTCGGTTTTAAATATCGGTTAAACATCTTAATTGATAAACTGATCTCTGCAAAAAATCGGCAACAATGTATGTCACTAACTTTTATTCAGAATTTCATTTGAGAATTCGCATATTTTTATTTATCTTTATTCATTATGCCCATACTATATTAATCATATAAAGTTATTTATAAAGTATAAAAAAATTATAATGCAAATATGTTGGAAACTGTAGGTTTCATCAATTGCTGAATCAAAAACAGTTCGTTAAGAACAAGTAGGCTATAGATTAGAAAGGAACACGTTCACATTGACATTAGCGTAGACTTTCATTAATCTAAATAAAAGATAATTTGCCGTTATTTTATCAAGAAACAAAAATTACTTCAAGTGATTAATATGCTATAGGATAATTAAAAATGGCAAATAATAAAAATATGCGTTAGTGTAGTTAGTGCAGCGTTATAGCACCCCGTATATGCTCGAATCAAGTTGTTCTGGAATTCCACTGAATTTCCTTTGTACTGTCCTATTGTCCTTCAAAATTGATCAATGTACTGCTATGGTCATAAAACTTTATTTATTTAATAAAGCATAATTTTTTCACTTGTTTGTTTTTAGAAACAACTGTACTTTTTAAGGTCCAAAAAATTAGTAAATAATGCATTATAATAGAAAATTTGTAGCTACGAGGTTTAGATCTACATTCATACTATTCTAAGTCGCTAACAAAGGAACATTATTGAAATATTTACAAGGAATCTGGTTTCATATTTTTGTTTTTTTGTTCAAAGTATAGCTATAACAAGAAAACTAGCGATGTCACATTTTTATGTCAGTTCACCCTAACTAAACGAAATTAACGAACGAGGTATGCACGAAAATTTATTTTGCCGAGCCTTTGCAATAATAGTAATAACATTTATTTCGCAACAAAATAATACAGAAAGTATCACAAAATTGGACCTTATGATTGAAAACAATAAAAAAAATTTCATGTTCAACCCCTAGACACTGAAAGCAATATTCAAATAGGTACTCGCATAAAATATCCGTTTCTGAATAAGCAACCAATGAAAAACTTTTGGTTAGTTTTGATTATAAAATTATGTGTAATAGAAGAGGTCCAAGCATGGAACCTTGTGGAACACCACACGTAATTGACTATGCAGATAATACAGAATCCTGAAACTCAACATATTGGAGTCTGTTGCTGAGATAATTGCATGTAACAGCTCGTGGTTTAATCTAGCGAATAATCAAGGATGCTTTTTAATCTAATAATTACTTATTTTTTCAATAACTTTTGATAATACTAGTAATATACTAATCGGTCTCATATCACTAAAATTTGATATTTCGGAAGAGAGAAAGAATTACTAGAGAAAATTTAAGGAGTATGATATTATACATACCAAGTTCTAAAAAAAAATATGCTCAATTTATAAATAAAAAATGTCTGCCATCTTTTCGATTCACACTGTACAGAGTGAGTCAACGATAAAGTTCTCATTGGTTTCAAAAGTTATAAGAAAATGGTAAATACAGCAGTTGTAAACATTGTTATTTTAAAGTATATACGGTGGCTTAAAAAGGCGTGACGATCAGTATACCTACCCTGTAGCATCTAATTAAAATTCCGTTGCATATGTGTTTGACGAATAAAGTTGATATCAAATATATTTTTAAACCTTTAAAAATAAGGGCGCTATCCTAACTTTTTTGCAAGTGTGAAAACTAGTATTTTTTTAGAAAAAATTTAAATATTGGAAAAACTAGGGTCTATTTAGGATGCTCCTATACCTTATCTCTATCAATACGACATTGAGGAAAAAATGTTAAATTCAATAAGTGTTTGACCCTGAGTATATATTTTATTTATAGTATTTTCATGTGTACAGGGTGTTCCGTTGTGCCGGGACAATTATTTTTTTTAGTTGAATGCTATGAAGATTTATTAAAATTATAACTACTAGCTTGATTTTGAGTATTTTTTGCTCTTACATAGCATATGAAATTTTTAGTAACTTTTGAGATATATGAACTTTTCCATTTTTTGCGGAAAAACAGGTCATTAAAAAAAATTCTAATCAATAAAAAAAGTTAATCTTTTTAAGTAGAACACCTGGTATTTAGCACTCTTATTTTTGGGATTTAATTTTGTATCATTGCCTATATATAGCTTTTATTACAAAAATTGGAAGTTTCTTCAACAAATTCTGGCTGTAGATACAAAAATCTATTTTATTATCCATCATCAAACGAATATGTTGACCTTAAATGTATGTTGAAATCCCTTTACTCGTATAAATTTGTGATTTTCCGATGACCAAGAATGATTATTCCTTCTGTTAAAAATACCCTTTCGTGAAAATTTTGACTCGAGGATCCAAATCACTATTTTCAAACAATCTGGATCTTCTTGTATTCTAACCAATATCATCTCACTAATGGTGCATCACGAGGGAGAAGAGATTGTAATGTAATTATTTTGTAATTATAAGGGGTGCAATAATTATTATTAAGTTGCAATAAAACAACTATGGATTATTCGATTGACATAAATTTTATTTATCCGAAAGATGGCATTACATTTTAAATATGATTTCTGGCATATGACCGCCAGGGCTGGCGCGGATGTAATCCAATCTGGACGTTCAATTTTCGATGACTTTTTCCAACATTTGTGGCCGTATATCGGCAATAACACGGCGAATGTTGTCTTCCAAATGGTCAAGCGTTTGTGGCTTATCCGCATTAACCAATGATTTAACATAGCTCCACAGAATGTAGTCTAGCGGTGTTAAATCACAAGATCTGGAGGCCAAATCACAGGTCCAAAACGTGAAATTAGGCGGGCTGTGTGACATGTTGCGCCGTCTTGTTGAAACCACATCTCGTGGACATCATGGTTATTCAATTCAGGAATGAAGGAGATCACCATTTTTTCTGGATATAACTCCACCATGGCCGACCAAGGCCTCCTACCCAGATGAAATGTGATTACTTTAATTTTCTTTAATTGCAATATTTTGGTTTTTTCCTTATGACTCGAAAACCAGTCATTATAGATATACCATAGTTTCGTACTTCTAGATGGCAAATTAATTGCTCATTTTAAAATTCCCACGTGACATGGATTTTTATATGTTGTCAATTGGGCCTTATCTTACGAAAGCCCTGTCGGCGATAAGTTAATGCTCATACGATATTATAATAAAGCAATTTAATAGGGACCGTAACCAAAAATTCAAGTGTTCAACTGTACGGGTTGCTAATTAAATTACTATTTTATATCGGGTTGTTTGTTGTCAATTTCTTAAAAAGTATTTTTTATCTCCGCATCTAAGAATGAAACAATATACCAGGTGTTCAATTTAAAAAACGATAGTCGATCTGCGTGACGAGTATATCCGGCAACACCGCATGGCCAAAAATATTTTTACCGTAAGTCATTCTCTATAAGCGTCTAATAGGACACTTTTGTTCTTCAGTGTCGTACTTAATGAGACAAAGCATGGGAACATCTTAAATTGAGCACCCTCTGTGAAGTATTAACGGCGACCCCATAACCGTTGCCGAGATATAAAATTTTTATACGAGCGCAGATACTTTCGAAAATTCGATTTCATCGATTTTCGAAAGTAACAAGTTATTTACCAACAAAACTCTTCAGGATATAGTCAACGTGTTCTACGATATAGTTTATTTAGCTATCGATATTTACGTTCCATTAAAGAAGTTTTCGGCTACGAAGTGTCCAGTTTGGTTTTCCCGAGAGCTTAAAGATACAGTAATTGATAAGAAGAAATCACATAAACGGTATCTTGGTGCTAAGTGCTAAATGTAAATTTTTAAAAGTGCAGTGTTACCAGGAATATATATTTCTGACTGAATCGACCTCAAGAGAAAAACTTAAAAATTTTTGGAAGTTCGTTAACAGTAAAAAGTAAAGGAACTATATTCCATCGGACAAATATTATGGAAATTGAATGAATAATTTTCGAAAATGGAAAACTGTAAAACTAAAGGGTTAGGGATGGTTTTTGTTTGTTTTTTCATATTTTACAAAATTATCTTTTAAATGAGTGATACTAGTATAAGTAGACCGAAAATTAGTCATTGATTCGGTTTTCTTTTGGTACAAACAATGTAACTGTATATTTCGGTGAGCTGTTCGTATAAGTAACACAGGGTGCCCCAGATATTCATCAGGAAAATCTCTTATTGATTTTTTGAAGGTTAGGAATTTTGAAATAGTAGCTTATTTCTTAGAGAGTTAGAAAAACAATTCACTTTAAGAAAATGTTACTGAAAAGTTATTGAATACGTTATTATTTTAAGTTTTAATACTTTGCTTTACAGTTTTTATGAGTTTTATGTATTCAATTGTTTTCAGAACTTTTTGAAAAAGGTAACATATTAATGCGAGAATTAAAAGAAAATTACAAAACATATAGCAGTTTAGATATATACCAGGACTAGGAGTGCAAAATTCGAAATTTTTATTTATGAAGATTTTGTAAAAAAAATTAAAATTTGAAAATAATTTAAAAAAACTTTGACTCACCCTGTATATTTAAACTTCCAAAAAGGAAAAGTCGCTCGAAGCGTTATCTACAACAACAAACATTAATTTATGGATTAGTTACTTATCTCAATAAATAATATTGTTCTATTGGTTTACAAATGCACATTGCTTTGTTCTAAAGACAACTTTTCGATCGAGTTTTATAAATTGGTTTTAAATTATTTATTAGATCGGTTGCAGTAGCGTAATCAATTTGAGCTTTAGCTACCGAATATGTTATTATTTTAAATTTTGATACTTCGCTTTACTTAGAAGTTTTTGAAAAAGGTAACATTTTAATGCGAGAATTTAAAAAAATACAAAACATTTAGAAGTTTAGATATTTAACAAATAAAATGTCGGTATAATACAATTCATAGCTACTTTTTTGAAATAACGTACCAGCACAAGGAGCGGAAAATTTGAAATTTTCGTTTATGAAGAATTTGTAAAAAATAAATAAATTTGAAAATAATTTAAAAAACCGTTGACACCCTGTATATTTAACCGTCCAAAAAGGAAAAGTCGCTCGGCGCGTCGACAACGCGATATCGGCGCACCGATCAGCGTCTCGATCGATCCTCTTAAACCGCCTATTTACATTATTGGCTTAAAATAAGCGCGCTTACTTTCGCGCAGGCGCGCTTCGTTTCTGCTCGCCAGTTTGGCGCGAACACGAACGACGTGAAAGTGCATTGTTGTTTTTCGGTTAGTGCTCCGAAAACAGCGTTACCGAAATGTCAATTCTGATTTACCGTTAAAAAGTTCCGTGTTTACGGTTACGCGGTAAAATAGTGGTGCTATCGCTCGCACCGGTCGAGATAAGAACGTTTCGAGGACCATCATGGACGGAACGTACGACTTGGACGCCCTTATGAACCATCTCGGTAAGTATGGTTTATATATAGGCCTTATCTTAACGCTAAAAGGTGAACGTCGCGTTTTCGTCGTAACGTTGGAATTTAGATCGCGTTTTAATACCAAGGCGAAGTCTTCCAAGCGCCGGTCGATTGTAAACACGGCCTGAAAATTGAGATAATGAGATCGACTTAACAGTAAAAGTTAAAAGTTGTAGAGATTGTTTTAAACGTGACGAATAAAACGCAAATTTTTTAAATGGAACGCCATATTTTAAAATTTTATTTAATTAATTGAATTTTGAAGCGCCAAAATTTCCCGGCCTGAATATGAAAGCAACAGAGCAGAGTAACAATTTTTTATTATTTTTCAATATAATCCTCCTTAACTTCAATACACTTATCACATCTCTTTATTAACAACTCAATCAATTAAAAAAAATATTCTTTTGGTTTTTCTGCAAAATGAGCTAAAACAGCCTCTTTTAACTCAGCTTCGTCGTTAATCCGCCGTCCACGTAAGTCCTTTTTCAAATATCCAAACAAATAATAGTCGCTGGGGGTCCTATCTGGACTATAAGGAGGATGATCTATCTGTTGGAACCCACACTCTAAAATGGCAGCTTTTGCAACACCAGCAGTATAGACAGGTGCATTATCGTGCAAAAGACGCACGCCTCTGGTCAGTTTTCCTCGACGTTTCACACGTATGCAGTCTCGCAATTTATGTAATAATGTTGCGTAATGTTTACCATTGACAGTGGTATTAGTTTCTTTAAAATCCATCAAAAGAATTTCTTCACAATCCCCAAAAATCGTGGCCATCACCTTTTTTGTTGACTGGCAGACTCTGAATTTAATTGGAGATGCTTGATTGATTGATTCTTTTTTCGATAGAGGGTCATAATAGAGAACCATAGTTGCATCTCCCGTCACAATAGTTTCTATCACAGGCTTCGGTTCCGATCCACAGAGTTCCAAAAAAGACCGCGCACACTCGACACGGCGTTGTTTTTGAATAGCCGAAAGGTTTTTAGGAACCCATCTTGCACTAACCTTATGCATACCTAAATGATCATGCAGGATGCAACGAACACTTGTATCAGAAAGCTTAGTAATTTCTGAGATTTCCTTGATCTTTAAACGTTGATCACTCAATGCCACAATCGCAACAATATTTTCTGTTATGACCTCCACTCGTCGACCAGTTCTTAAATCAGCTTCAAGGGACTCCTGCCCTATTTGAAAACGTTTCGCCCATTCTTTTACTACAGAATACGAAGGAGAACATTGGCCGTACACACCATGCAGCCTTTATTTAGTAATTTTAGGTGCTAACCCTTCTTTTGTCAAAAACTTTATGACTGCTCTATACTCAATTTACGTTATTTGCGACATTTTTTCGGACACCTTTTGTTTAACATGCTGTTAATAAAAAACTATTTGACAAGACTTCAATTCTTTTTTCATAGCCTACTAAGATATATGTTAAAAAGAAGACAAAGTTTTATCGTGATGCTGGAGCTGCATCTATGTCAGGCCGAGAAATTTTGGCGCTAACCTCGTACCTAAACCTAATAGTTTTTTCAATATTTATTAATTATTTAATTATTGTGGTACCAATAAATTTAAAGACAAACTAAGCATACTTTGTTGGCAGAAAGACTTTAGAAGGGGAAGTACCCTAATAGACGTATAGCAACTAGACAATGTCTTCAGTGTTTAATGGAACGGTTTGATGTTGGTGGTAGTATTCAATATAAAAAACCAAAAGTGCTAAACTGGAATGCTACAAATGAAGAAAAAGAATAGGGAATTTTACTTCTTCTTAGGCACTTTCCATTACGAGTTCGCCGTTTTAATTTTCCACAGTTCTCTCATATTCCAGTCCTACTCTCATGTCCTCTTCGTCTTCTCCCTGGAGGTCCCCATTCCAGTACTCGTTTCGTCCATCTGTGTTCTGGCATTCTTTGTATGTGACCATGCCATTGGAATGCTCTGTTTTCTAATTTCCTTGTTATCGAACATGTTATTCCCATTTGTTGCCAAATTTCTGCAGTTCTTGTGACTTGGAGACATCTTCTCATAAAGTCCAATTCGACCGTTATTATTTTAATTCCTATCGTTGTTGTCATTTTCCATACTCCCTGCTCCATATCAGGTGATATTTTGTATTATGCTTTGGAAGATTATTTTCTTGTTTTCTTTACTACGAGTACCGTTCCATATCAATCTGTGAAGTGCTCTTGTAGATTGTTTTCCTAGTGCTATTTTTGCCTCTATATCCCTTAAACATGTACCATCTCGGTGTATTGTCGATATTGTTGATACTTGAAAGTTTGGCACCTATTATTAATTTCGTCCTCTAAATTCAAATCTAAATCTGCTCCGTGTTCGAAGTGTTTTCGGAGCGCGAGCATTGAAGATGCCAAGTGAGATTTTGGCGAAACGTCTGCAGGATTCCAGTCGGATGCAGGATTTGCAGGATTCCAGTCGGAGTTCAACGAGCGAACGGATGATATCCCGGAATATAGTGTCATCACATTTTTCCATCCGTGAATCAATACGTGAGAATATATATATATATATATATATATATATATATATATATATATATATATATATATATATATATATATATATATATATATATATATATATATATATATATTAACTTCCATGACACAAAAATACTTTCTACAGAACCAACCACACAAAGATATCGAAAGAAATAAAAACTCCATAACCGCGAAAACCGACGTAAAACATCTGAGTCAAACCTATTTTGAATTGTTAAAGTAAACCATTTTAATACTCAGACGCTCCACCGTTTATCAGTTGGTCTTAAACTTAACACAAACGTACACTCTAAAAAAATAAATAAATAAAACTAAGAGGAAAAAAAAAGGCATCAGATACAATGAATGTTTATTTTCCACTTTTATTTTTGAATCGTACGCCAAAGCAAGAACGTTATCTGGTTAGTTTAAAGAGAAATGTACTTTTCCACAAACAGCTCTAATAATAAACACTTTAAAAAATTATATTCCGCTTATATCCTGGAACGGTTATATGTAACGGGTCTGCTAGGCAGGATGTTCTATAAGGGGCTGCGGTTTTGGAGTAATTTGAAGTAACAAACAATAGGCAAAGTTAATCACGGCATCGGTTGTAAAAGCAGTATATTTCTGGTTGAAGTATATCGTGAACGGCAGTGAATCGAAGCCAGTTACTATTGAACGTGGCGTGAGGCAGAGTTGCATACTGTCCCCCACCCTCTTCAAGGTTTTTTTTTTCGAAAACATATTCACAGAATCCCTAAGTGGTCAGTTGGAGGAGAAACAGTTCATAATATGCCGGCTATACCGTAATTATAGCAGAAAATGTCGCAAACCTGCAAAACTTAGTAAACAGATACAATGAAACTTAACATAAACGTAAAAATAAATAAAACTAAATATATGATTGTGAGTGAAGTAGATGTTGACCAGAACCTATTAACTATTAGTTTTAAAGAACCGTTGAAAAGAGTGACAAAGTTTAAATATCTCGTCTTCTTTATTGATCAAGATATAAATCCTTCAAATGAAATAAGATGCCGCATAAAAAAAGCAAGAAATAATACACTAAATATTAAGATGGATGGATGGATGAATGTATGGATGCCAAACATATACGCTTGTAGCATTTGAAATGTGGACATACAGGAGAATGCTTAAAATATCCCGGACCACAAGAACCAGAAATGTGGAAGTTTTTCGAAGAATGGGACACGACATACTACTTCTAAATATTATCAAGTGACGATAACCTGAATACATAGGCCATATAATTAAAAGACCTCGATATGATTTCCTTCGACTTATCCTTAATGGTAAAATGGAAGGAAAGTTTATTGAGCGTGAGGCTTTCATGGCTAAGAAACCTGAGAGAATGGACAGACCTTAACGAAGATGAGTTACTCCATGTCGGCAAAGATACAGAGAAATCGTGAACATGGCAGTGATCAACGTTCAGGTTCAAGTCAATTTAAACTTTGCCCGTTATTTCCACCAAAATTGCGAATAACTGTCTTACTTTATCTATCGCTCCACTTTCTCCTGTTCATTTTGTAATTTTATCAGAGCCCTGTTGGCTAATGGTTTTGTTATGGCCAACTAATTATAGCAGTAGTGCTAGACATAAAAAAATGTAAATATTGGAAAAGTTAAAATAAATCGTAAAGTATTAAAAATAGGTATAGTGAAAACTCATATAACCGGATACTCACGACTCCTCTAGTTTGGTCCGCTTGTTACAGGTGCAAACTTAGATCTGCAATTATTTTTAAGGCTTCATTATAGTCGTATCACTATCATACTCTTGATAGCTGTCTTCTTCTGGTTCAGCTTCTTTCATGTTTTCAATTGCATTTTCAATGTTCAAAGTAGTCTCCTCAGTCGCTGTAATATTGTCGATTCCAACATAGTTCCCAAGAGTTTCTTGCGTTATATTCATTTCCCTAACACATCGTTTCAAATATTACCTTCTGGATACCATGCCATTGATATAGAAAAAAATCATTATTTTTTGAAAACCAGCTTTATTCAAACAATTTTGGATTTTATTCCAGACTGACTTAATAAAATAAAATGCCTCTAAAATATTTACAGTCTTTGCTAAATCCGACGCGGATATTATTTGATCCATCTTTGATAAAATGCGCTTCAGTGTGAGTCCACGATAATAGAATTTAACACTCTGTATGATACCCTGATTAAGAGGTTAATATACTGACGTCATATTTGAAGGCAAGAAGATAATTTTTATGTTTTGTAATTTTACCTCACGGGATGCGATGCTGCGTTATCTAAGAATAATAAAATGTTTCGCTCTTCTTCTTCTTCGCTCCTCACTAAACTCGAGATCCCGATAACTGTAGGTCCTAGTTTTTACACTCTTCAAATTTGGCTGTTCTTTATCCGTCCACGAGGTGCATAGGATATGTAAATGGCTGCGTTCAAGCATCGGCGTCTATTTTTTTTTCGATT